TTTTGAAAATATGGAGTCTCTCTAACGTCGGAAATGACCTTTACAGAGTCTTTACTACTGCGAAAAGGGCATTTTCTTTCCAGAAAAAGAGGGCGTTTGTTCAAGAAATACTTTTTTCGTTTTTTAAATGGGGCATTTTAGCCCAGAAAAAGGGCACTTTTTTCACTTTTAAGAAAAGTGGGGGGGCACATGCCCCCATTGCCCCCCCGGTTCCGCGGCCCCTGCCAAACAAAGACGCGTACGAACCGATATGTATAGGGCAATGTTTGTGTCGAGAACGGCATTTATCGCAATTACTGATAATTTTCGTAATTCGTAGCAACGGCGCAATCTTTCAAAGTAAGTGCCGAAACGAACACATTTCATGGAATAATTGCGCATGGGGATCAAAGTTTTTAAAAATAGGGGGTTTGATTAAATTGATAGAAGTAACAGTTCTGTGTGATTTTGAGGTGAAATAGAAGTAAAAACTGATTGTTTATTCTGTCATTCAATCTGCCATTGTGAGGCGCAAAAATGATGGAGCGTATTATAATTATTCTTCCATGCGCAGGTGCGAAGCTGTAGAGTCATCCCATGCGATAGACGCAGCCTCGTTTGAAATAAAGTTTGCAATTAGTGAGAACTCCCATTAGATTGTTATCTTGCAAATATGGTCATAACAGGAACGCACTGCAGCGCGCGAGCAAGCAGAGAAAATATTGCGAAAAATAATAATGAGATTTTTCATGTGGTTGGCTCGGCAGGAGAAGGGACAAGGTGTCTCGATGAACAGACGTTAAAATGCAAGATGTTTCACTTACTGGGGTTATAATTATTGACATGTCACAACTGATGTGATAGAGTCGTCACTGCGAATTGTGAACTTTGAAAAGGGAAGGGAACTATGAAAACTGGATTCAAATCTGGACTCATCTTGCGAAAGAGTCCGCTCACTATCCTCCGAAACGTTGAGGTTTTCTCTATGAGTAAACGACCATGGCGTCGTAACTATATGCATAATCTTGAGTCGTGGCGTTGTTGCATGATTTCCACACAAGGATTTTTGCATTAACGGTCAAATTATTTTTGATTTTTTGTCAACAATTAGGGGGAGATTCAGCGTGAGCCGCTGAAAACCTGAAATGATATGAAGAAATACAATGGGCAGATGAAAATCCCTTGTTTTCCTTCACTATGAGTTTAATATTATTTTAAAAAATTTGGAAAAATTACGATTAAAAAATGTAATAAATGTTGTTTTTCTACCTTGAATAAAGCGTTTGAAATTTGCAATATGCCACTGTATCGAGTTCAGTCATTTTTTGTGGCTATGATAATTGATGTGGTGGTGATGCGCGCATTTAATATCTGTCGTCTCAAAGCGCTCTCGACCAATCAGATGGCTGAATTTGAGGCTGAAGATGATGGGTGGTCAATTTTGTTGCATTATGAGTTTGAGTGACGAGTATAGAAGACACAGTATGAAGCCTTCATTTGATAGGCTGTAGAACGAGGACTCAAATTGTGCGAACTGCATGTTGTCTGCCTGTGCTGAGCTTCCAACTGTTGGGCTTTGTCAGAGACTCAAATGAACTCTTATGGCTTCGCCGTTGTGAAAGGGAGCTTCACTTTACATCATCGCAAAGACACTGTTTCTGAAATCATTACCGCCAGTCGCTATGTGGATGTTTCTATTACTCTATTCTGTTTACTTTACTGTATTAATTTCTGCAAACGAATTATGCCCAGACGGCTGTGAATGCCAAGCAAAGATTATCAAATGTATGGGGCGAAAATTGTTACAAATTCCGAACGCCATACCAAAGGATGTAACAAATTTGTGAGTGTTATAGCTTTTACAATATTTCGTGGTTTTACAATATCATCGTATCTGTCGTAGGCTTCCCTTGATACATTAATTTGTAGTGTCAACTTTCACTGTCTTGTGTAAATTAATGTTTGTCTCGTTATTCAACATGTTCGTGTCCGTATATATCATTCAAAGCCGAAAAATCATCACGTAATTCGGAATAGTGATAAATTCATGCGAGATTCACGAAGAGCCAGAGAGCCTTCCCCCACTCATGAGTAATATAAAGAGTGCCCTCGATTTACGTGAGGATTTATTGGTTTTGAATGATACCCTAGCTAAATAAATACAAGCCGAAAATGCTGTAAGTTGTTGTCAGCATTTTAATAATTTATTTGGTAATCGGCTTGCAGTATTTGAAGGGCAATGAATGTTCCTATAATCGAGTTGTATGATAATAAATTTCAACGCATTTGATGCCTTATCTTCGTTTGAGGTCGACCTTATCGGGAGATATGGTCGTCAATTGATTCAACACTACAGCAATACCTACATAATAATTATCGTCCACGCTTTGAAAACTCTTTTCTCTTAACGACAATGCAATGTAGTATTCAAGTAGTGTATAATGACCGCCTTCTATTCCACACTTCGCTTGCTTCGCTTAACCTTTATACAGAAAGATTTTAGGCGAGTTATCATATGTCGCTTGCGTTGTTTATCAAATATGGAAAGCAGATGTACTCGTATTTCTATAAACATTCAAATTGGGCTGGAAAAAAACGCGATATGATATGAAATAAGTCACGTCCTCTCGTGTTTTTAGCCAACTTAAGTTGTGGGGCGTTCTTTTAAGCAAATTAATCCATTTTAAAGCTATTTATTTGTTACCGCGTCATTTTAAACGAGGCCTTTAAGTCTTATTTGTGGCGGGTGATTATTTATGATTTGCTGCCTGTAATGTTATGACAAGTAAAATTAGAAGCGATGATTCGCGTTAGAGCGTCATTAATAAACGAAGCTTATTGAGAAGAGTCTAGAGCGTTCGTTTCTCAAGATTAATAAACAATCTTGCCTCGTTTTATTTTGAATGCTCAAAGGCCCGACCATATTGAGATTCGGGAATATCCCGCTGGGAATGGAGGCGAATTTTGTCTTGTTCGTTTTAATTTTGAATTCATGTCGAAGCAGCTGATGTTAGTGAAGTAGCGTGTTGCCATTTTTAGCAAAACAAACTTCCTTTCGCGCTATAAACTAAGCCGAAATTGTCGGCTGGTAAACAATGTTTTCGTTTATTTACAGTGCTAATAAAAATTCTCTATAAATATGTTAGATAGAAGTACCGTGCTGAGCTAAGAGAAAAAAACAAGTCCTAGACATGTTTCAAATATTTTCGAACGCTATTTTCTGAAGATTTACGCTTCCTGTTCCAATATTGAACTAACGTAGTTTTTGAGTGCTCTTTGTAGCTGAGTGTGGTACTAAAACCCAATAATTTGTCGACTAAAGTGTTAATTTTTCACACAAATATCAAAATGATGGTCTAAAGACTTGAGTAGATAAATAGGTGTTGTTAATGTACTTGAATTTATGTATTTATAGGTCCAAATCTCGTGTGAACCTTTGCATGCGAACGCAACTCGTTAATGTTGGAAGCGGAACTGTGCTTGAATAGCGATCATTGACAGCTTGTTGTTACCTCTTTGATTGAAAATTCTTCCGAAACTCACAAAACTCCCTTCCTGTCGCAATAACGTTTATAACCCTAACATAAACTTGATAAAATAAACTATGTCTATGAATACGCCGCCTTCATTAGGCTAGATTTCAGAGTAGATGAGTTTTTAAAACTATGATAAAACATTTCAAGATTGATGTGTGGGCACTCATCTTTTTTACTCAAGCCTACTTCTCAGCCTGCCTCTTATACGTCTTATCTCTATGGGAGGTCATATTGAGCAGTGTCTCCTCACGATTTGAAAAGTAATCTATCCTGCACGAGTTTCCGCCATGTCAACTAAGTAGTGTTTCCTGATTTATCATTTTGTTTATACTCCGAGCGAAGGTATTAATTTTACACCCAACACTTTGTTATTTTATTTAATTAGATGGTCTTGTATAACAATTGAATCAGTTGGGCGTCTTTCCCTCATGTTAATCATAAAAATTCTTAACCCAGTTGGAATGGTGTATTTTCCAATCAGCCTTATACGAATAATCGCATAATCCTATTTCTCAAACATTCCAAAGCATTTGATGACTTCGTATGATGTTCTAATTCCATAATATGATACTTTGCGTTAAACTCTAAATAAACGTGGCTTGGGGGCATTTCCTCCGAGGATAAAACGATTAACTTTTCAGAATTACACTCAAATATTTGAGCTGTCTGCTTACTATTTGACCGCCCTAACTCAGAACTGTCTCGTTTAAAAAAAAGCTTTTGAATTTTCCTTCTGGGATAGTTCAATATTGACCATTACAATACAGTGGTAGTTTATGAAGGGCGAAGGTTGTTCATTTGATCCTCAAATTTGTACAGTACAAAAGTTAATATTGTTTTACCTAAGAATTACCGCTGTTTTATCAGTTTTTAGAAGGAGGAAAAGTCAAAACTTGTCATGACCAATATTTCATCAAACCCACACGTAAATCTGTTTGAAGTGCCTTAATCTCTATAAAAACACCGTCTTTTGCCAAGAGGTTTCAAATTGCATCCAAAGCAGAGGAAGTTCAGTCTATTTTGATGCCAAGAATCCTACACAAACATGTATTTTGAAATAAATCCTACACAAACATGTATTTTGAAATAAATCCTACACAAACATGTATTTTTACTTCTTGGTTCTCCAAGTTGCCATTACCTTTTCAAGAGGTAGAGATTTCTCAGATTTAGAGGTCGAAATCTTCGTTACCTCGATAGCTTTCGCCGTTGTCCGTTTTACTCTACTAAGTGGCCTGTGGTCGGAAATAGCTAGCCAAAAACGAGACCTTCTATGACTTCTAATAAAAAATGCTCACGCAGACTATTAATCTCTGAATAATAATATTGGAATTAATCCAGAAAAAATCATTGTGGTTTTAAGAAAAACCTCGATCTTGTTTTGTTAATATCAGATTTCGACATTGTGGGAGGGGCCGCTTTAAGAAGCTTATGCAAAATATATTTATATATCTTTATCAAAATCTTACAAAATTGGCTGTTTTATATAGAGACCTTAGTGGGAACAGATTGTCCTTGTTTGAGAATAACACATTCTTGGAATTTTCAAACTTAATTGAACTGTAAGTCATGTAGAATTTTTATATTTTTTCTATGAATTTTAATCCAGTATTAAAGATGCATGACTTGTTTTAATCCAGTTTTAATGTTGACAATTTGTTCCAGAAATCTAAATGACAATGAAATTAAAGATGTAGCAAGCCTTGGAGAGTTTCCAAAGTCACTTCGTATTTTGCATTTGTAAGTTGCAGAAATGTCAATTCTATCATCTTCTATTGATGGCTTTTAGCATTTAATATAGGGCAGAAGAATTTTTATAAACCAACCTGCTTTCCTTGTTTAGAAAAGGAAATAAGTTGAAGTCATTGGGTGGAAACTGGATGCAGTTTACCAAACTGTAAGTTTTATTATATGTCTTGTGTAGTGGCTATCCAGTTTTAGTTCAATTTATGTTTATATATAGCTCAGTGGCAAGGCTGTCCAGTTTACCTTTATATATATAGCTCATTCGCAAGTCTCTCAGTTATATATATATAGCTCAGTGGCATGTACGTTATATATAACTGGAGTGCCATAACCTAAGCTTCATAATGTCCCTATAAAACTAAACTAAAACTGGATAGTCTCAAGTGGCCTCCTGTAGTCTGCCTCCTGAATCCTAGCTTACTGTGAAATTACAGTGAAATATTTATTATGTTTTTATAGTGATTTCAGTCAAAATAGAATTGAAGCCATTGGCAATGAAACTTTCATGGGCGTTAGAAATTTGACAGAACTGTAAGTACCTCATGCCAGCCAAAGTATTCAGAGAATGATTGCAAACAGGATTGGAATAAAACCAAACAAACAAACAGACAAACAAACAAACAAACAAACAAACAAACAAACAAACAAACAAACAAACAAACAAACAAACAAACAAACAAACAAACAAACAAACAAACAAACAAACAAACAAACAAACAAACAAACAAACAAACAAACAAACAAACAAACCAGACAGACAAACAGACACTTGACCAGTTGCCAAAGATAGAGATTGTGTATTTTGTATCATATCTAAAATTTTGTATTTTTCCTAGAATCCTTAGTAACAATCAAATTAGAAGTATACCTCCAACTGCACTGAAAGATCTTCCAAGTCTTCGAAGATTGTGAGTATTCATGTCTATGTTGCTTGTCTAAGACTACTTTGCTGGAGCAAATTACATGCAATACTACTTTTGAAGTTTAATTAAATAAAATGAATGACATTAACCTGTATATCTTTCTAGGAAACTTGATGGAAATAACCTAACAGAATTACCAGAAATTAAATGTCCATCTTTAAAAACTCTGTAAGTGACCAATGTAACCATGATCAAGTATGTAGATACATGATGCTGACTGATTGATTTTGTTGTTTCTAGGGATTTGAGTGACAACAAACTGCATACTATTAAAAGTTTCACACTCTTCAAAATTATCCCTTCTGTAGAAGTGCTGTAAGTATCTTCACTTGAAGTCTGTCTGAGATGAACTGATTACTGACATTTCACTGCAAAATATCTTAACTGGTAACTGCTAAATGATGAAACAACAATTTGCAACTGACAGTATCTTACAAAAGATCTTACTGAGTCTGAGAGCTGACAATAAATCGTAGATAATTTCCCACCTTGTGGTGTAAAGCAGAACACTCACTGGTTTGTTTTCTCTTCATTCTAGCAAGCTGTCAAACAACAAAATAAAAGTTTTAAAAGTTGCTACATTCTCGAACTTAAAAGTAAAACGCTTGTAAGTTTTGCAGCTTTCATTTAAATTTCTAACGTTTCTGAGAATTTATATAACGTATGTTAGTATATCAAATCGTTGTGTCAAATTTCTTAGAAATGAAACTATTATGATTTATTTCCTAGATATTTGAATGGCAATTTACTGGAAAGTGTTACGAGGCAATGGATGTTTGGGATGAGAACTTTGGAATATTTGTAAGTGTGAATGTATGTCTGTGAAGTGTGAAATGTTTTTTCTTGCCGTTAAGAAGAAATTCGTTTAGTGAATTGAGAAGAATTGAGTTTAAATGGTTTTAAATTTTGTAAACTCTTTTTCTATCCAGACGTCTTGACAACAACAAAATAGCGAATATATCTACTACAAGTTGGAAGGCCAATTGTTGCGAAAAGTTGAAATATATGTAAGTAGAAAAAAATACAAACGATATAGTGAGTGCGCGATGGATATCGTCCTGATATATTATTCCTGTTTTTATGTAGAAATTTAGCGCACAACAATCTGAAGCGAATACTGTTTGACAGTAATAAAAACTACGATGCAAATTTTATGAATTTGGACAAATTAGAGACTTTGTAAGTATTAAATTCTAAGGTCGTAATTAGGGCGCTAATTGACTCTTAATGATGGTGTTAATTGTAACTGACAAGAAAGGCTTTTTGTTTGATCAATCTTATCAGCCAGTCATACGCCAGTCAAGTCAATATGAACGTCTTAATTTTTTTAGAAACCTGGGTTCAAACAAAATATTTGATATTTCGGACGGTGCGTTTAAAGACCTTAAGAAACTAAGGATTCTGTAAGTACACCAAACATGTGTAGTTAAAAGTTCCTCTTCAATCAAAGTATCGTCATGGTAATTTGATGAAATGATTTATTCATTCGCTGTGTGTTTTCTTGTAGGGATCTTAGCAATAACCGAATATCTCTTGTGGAAAACTCGACGTTTAAAAAATTGCCAAGCTTAGAAATGCTGTAAGTATGCGAGAAGTTCATGTTTTGTGGCGAAGAATATAGAAAATACTAGACCTTCATTTCTTTGTTACAGAGACATGCGGAACAACCCTATTGTGGAAGTGACGAAAGACGCTTTTACCTCACTAGAAAAGCTCAGAGATTTGTAAGTACTGGAAACGCATCATAGCCAAATTGGCAGAAACTTTCAGTGGATTATCGTGCCATATTTCGTCTTAAAACATTAGTGGGTTTAACTAACCATTATCCAATTTTCGTGCTGCTATAATTGTCACCAATTCTGACGTTGATTACCATCTGCTGCCAAACTCGTACCCAGCGCTTCTGTTGCATATCATGAGTACTGAAACTACAGCTGAAACCTATAGCAATATAGACCTATGTATATATTGATTCATGTATCTGTGCGCGTGAGGCAAGTCACATCTTCATTCTGTGTGTATTGTTATCTAGACGGATGAATAGTGATGTACTGTACTGCAGTTGTAAATTACGTTGGTTTTCACAATGGTTAAGAACGAAAAGATTTTCTCGTTCAATCGGCTTCAAATGCAACCAACCAAAGAAATTATCGGGCATCGATTTCACAAAAATTCCCTTAAAAGATCTAGTCTGTGGTGAGTTTTATATAAATTTGGATCTTTTTATCACATAAACTTTCATCTTTTTATGTATAACATGCAAACTGAGCACATGATATTAATAAAATGTAACTAAAGAACGCGTTTGGAATGTGCACGCAGTGACAATTACTCAGAAACGAATTTAGAACGCAGTTCCAACACACATGCATATAGGAGAAATGTGGAACGCATATGGCACGCGGTTACATAACCACGTGTTACAGATTTTTCTTGCACGCGCGAAGGTGGAACGCGGAAATTTGGAACGCGGTTCGAACGCATTTGGCACGCGGTTCAAACACATAACCACGTGTTACAGATTTGTCTTGCACGCACGAAGTTAGAACGCGGAAATAACGCGGTTATAACGCAAGTAGAGCATATTTGGATCACGATCCGAACGCATATAGAACCTTTCGATTCGAACGTGTAACCTTAATTATAAGAGTGCAAGCAACGTATCTTTAATGATGTATTGAAATATCTTCATAGACTCGTCTCGTCCAGAGATTATTGGCCATCCAGAATCCCAGATTGCGATGACAGGAGACGAAGTGAGACTGAGTTGTACGGTCAAGAATGGTTCTATAGAAGGACTACGCATACTTTGGCAAAAAAATATGAACAATATTGATATGACTGAATCCAATGTTATGATATTAACACAGGTAAAAAACGTCTTCGGTATGACACAGCTACCTACAATATAATAAGCTGTCGTGCGTTGACGTTACCGGCAAAAATAATTGAAACTGTCTTAAATTTATTTTGTTAGAAGCAAGACAAGTTTGAGATCTACAAGAGTACCCTGTCCCTCAGACACGTGACCGATGCTAAAGATGGCGGAACATATCAGTGCTTTGTTCTCGCGGGAAAAGAAAGAATCCCATCACGCATTGCACGATTACGCGTTTTTGGTAATACTTCTTCATTCAGTTTTGTGTTATTCGAGAAGAGTGCTTCCACTTTCACTCAACCAACGCAGGGAGAACAGTCTAGAACTGATACAGCCTCCCAGTATAAACAGAGTTACAGTAGCTTGGTATAGATTTCCTGCTGTAGTAACACTAGAACAATAAGGATCGCAGGGAGAACAGTGTTGTGTTGATATAGCTATACAGTATAAGGAGGCATTCGTTCATTTAGCGTCATTATACGACAATATAGTATAGTATGTTAACATACTACGTAAGACTAAAAATTTCTATGTTTCATAGTTTATCCAAAATTTACGAGAACCCCCGGTGACCTGGTAACCAACATTGGCGACGACGTTCGTTTCAACTGTTCGGCCAGCGGACATCCCGTACCACAAATCTCATTCAGAAAAGTGAATGACCCACGTCAGCAAGCGGTGGAGGAAAGACGAATAGGACTGGACGGAACTACATTCATCATAAGAAATGTCTCCCGAACTGATGTAGGACTGTATCGTTGCGTCGCGAAGAGTGAAGCTGGTGTGATCAATACGACTTTCACATTGAATGTTATAGGTAAGGATGACATCTTAGCCTCGGTTCTTAGTATGATGATTTCATAGTGTGGACTCAACGACCTAAATTGACTTCCACTACTACTACCATTAACCAATCAGATGCGTTTACTCTATCCGACTAATCAATCAGATGCGTTTACTCTATCCGACTAACCAATCAGATGCGTTTACTCTATCCGACTAACCAATCAGATGCGTTTACTCTATCCGACTAACCAATCAGATGCGTTTACTCTATCCGACTAACCAATCAGATGCGTTTAATTTATCCGACTAACCAATCAGATACATGCTAAGCCAGTGAGAGGTAGCAGTAGTGGAAGTCAAATCTGAGCCTTTCTAAGAACGTTTACACTTGCAGTTTGTGCAGCAATTTTCTACTTCTGGTGGATTGAAACGAGTAGTTGAGTCCACTCGTTCACATCCATCAGAAGAAGAAAATCGCACTAGAAATCGCAGCAAAAATTGCAAGTGTAAACGGGCCTTAATAGATCATTGACTGATAATCTATGATGGATTGTTTTTGGTCGTACTGTATCTACGTGAAAGATGTGAAACAACTACAGTATAGAAGTGTTGGTATAATGTACTCAGGTGAATCAGTAAGATGCTTGTGATGTTACTCTGCCTGGTGTGGATATACACTCAGAGTAACATCACAAGCATCTTATTCACCTGAGTACATTACACCAACACAGCAAATATCATGATTATTAGATTACATTGATATCGAAGGAACTAGACTCAGTTCCGAAATATCACATACTCGAACCGACCTGACCGCGTAGCTCAGTTGGAAGAGCATTGGGCTAGTATTCCAAAGGTCGTAGGTTCGATTCCCACCGTGGCCAGGCATATTTTTCAAGCCTGCCCGGTGTGGATATACACTCAGAGTAACATCACAAGCAACTATAGAAGTGATGTCCTAACAGACCAATGCTATCTTCCGCAGGTAAACCGGTGTCCGTTCATAAAATGTTTGATAAAGTTACCTTGGTTAACGACGCCGCCATGTTTGTGTGTGCAGCGAGTGGTTGGCCTCGACCTAGGTTCACCTGGTTTAAGGATGGGAAAATACTCGACCTTACATCAAGTAACCTGCAGCTTCGCAACGAACGGGATGCTCAACATCTAGTGATCTTACATGTCGGGTACTCGGACGCCGGGAGGTACAAATGTCGGGTATCTAATGTCCTGGGATCTGTTGCATTGAGTAGTCAACTTAAAGTCGTTAAAGATCTTTCCGAGAAACCAGATTCACCGGGTACGTTGATTCTTGAAATATTTCTCTGGACGTTTTAACCATGTGAGAAGAGTGCGTCCAGTCTGCAGAAGACCTATCCAGTATAATTAAAGTTAGTTTAGGTTTCCTCCAGTAGTAACACTGGATCCTTTCTGGACCTCAAGGGAGAACAGTTTAAACTTTAAAGCTGATAGAGCTATCCATTATAAATAAAGTTAGTTTAGTTTAGGTTTCCTCCTGTAGTAACACTGGATCAATAAGAGATGATCCTTACTGGACCTCTAGGGAGAACAGTTTAGAACTGATAGAGCTATCCAGTATAAATAAAGTTAGTTTAGTTTAGGTTTCCTCCTGTAGTAACACTGGATCAATAAGAGATGATCCTTACTGGACCTCTAGGATGGACAGTTTAGAATTGACAGACCTGTCCAGTATAAATAAGGTCTAAACCTGAGCGATGGAGTAAATCCGGTGATTGTTTCGTTCCAGATGATGACAGTGTAAGTCACAAGACGTTAATTGGTGCAGTGGTATTTACAGCCGCATGTACAATGGTAGTTACCACCTTGATCTGTGTGGCTGTACTTCATGTTATAACACACCGAGGGTGCGCTTGTCTCACCCAACATAAGACCTCGGAGACTGTCACCCTAGACTCGTACGCCACTACAAACCCAGAAAACCAGGAGTACGTCCAGATGGCCGATACCTTTCCGAACGAATCACCTCGATCTTCGTCAACTTTCGTAACATCTTCGGATTCCCAAACACATTCCGACTTACAGACGTCAAGTTCCGAGAGTGGCTCAAGTAAGGAACATCGGGAAGGCTCATACGACGGTCGACATTCATCAGGAGTCTGTTCAATGAACAGTAGTAATAGCTCTTTGGCTTCGACTACAAATCATCGAAATACATTCCCGTTCTCGAATACAAAGACATATCTGTACCCAGGAACTGGGGAGGAGTTATATGACGTCACCAACGCAAGTAATGAAGTCAGTTCCACGCGTGGACTTCCCACGCCAAGAGAATCATTACAACTCCAAATTAATGAACAATATTATCCTGGCAGACGGAAACATAGGTCATCACGTGATAAACCGTCAAGATCACGAGAGAGACACGTGAACAAGCGACGTAAGGGGACTGAGCAAGAACGGTTGCATATTAATGAGCCACCAGAACAAACTAGCGCGACAGATGAATACAGGACAGAATCTGTGACAGAATCGGAGGGCACTGTGTTATAGTTGCAGCTGCACTGCGTTAAATACTACGAGTTAGGCTACGTTTCCACTATACCAGATACCTTTCCGTAGTGGCACAGAGTAGAGACATACAGAGCTGTAACTGACCGTTGTAAACACTGCGGAAGCTTACGTTATCATGTACCCACTTTTTTCAGGCGACCAGACAAAAAATGATCAACTGCGCGTGCTCAGCAAGTTTAAAGTGAGTCGTCATCAGGTAGTCATCCAATCAGATGCATGCATCTAGTAACTTGCCGAGCATGCGCACAAAAAAAGTGGGTACACTAGTTACGTCTCTGTATGTCTCTACTCTGTGGTAGCGGCGCGAGAAAGCGCCTATCCGATACGGAATGTACAACTTTCACAAGCTGAGGGAGGGAAACAACATTTCTCTGTTGCAATAATTCCTCTGAAAATAGCGTTCCTACAATTAACAGATAGGTGTTTTTTCACGTCGCTACGGAAAGCTGTCCGTACAGTGTAATTCTCTGTACCCATCCATTCCCAAACGTACATTTTTTAAATAGCGGTTTGCACTTTAAATTGCCTTTATGTATATATGAAATAAAATTTGTCGTGTAATCTATATGTGAAAAGCAGCTTCTTGAATGATCTGAGGTGCACACACTTCCCAAATTTGTTTCAATGTATCACACGTCACCCTGAAGTTTATTGTGTTTATTACGAAAGTCACCGAACTGTGGAATCGTATCAAAAATTCGTATCGCCGTCACTCCCACGCACGTCTACGACCGCACCTACATATTTTTGTATGTTTACAGTTCTAAACAGTCAATCGACGTTTAATTGTAATTGTTACCAAGAACCGGATCGGCTGTTCAAAATTAGAATTGTAAACATGCCAAAATATGTAGGTGCGGTTGTAGACGTTTGTGAGAGTGGCGGCAATACGAATTTTTGATGCGATTCTACGTTCAGTGACTTTCGAAATATTTTGAGATTTTGACTCGTCCAACACTATTATCAAAGGTAAAGATAATGCTGAATTACCAACCGGTATCGAACGAACTGACGAGGAGAGTGCCAGCGGTTAATCAGAACCCTTACCCTATTAACTATTATGTGTTCCTTACACGAAGTAGAAACTGTCTGGCATCCTTGTTGAAGACCCTGGGACGCTTTGGTTCGGAAATGCCAAATACGCAAAATTGCACGCATGCGCACTTTAATGTTATGCAAATTTTCTAGTGAGTTGGGTATAAAGTATTAAAGTTGTCTTTTCGGACAAAAAACTTTGGAGTTTTTCCAGGATTTTAACAGTCTTTCCATAAGGGATGCATCGTTTATTGATCAAACACGCTAGACAAGTAGTTACTGTTTGTAAAAATGGCGAAACATTGCTAAAAGGGGCTGCTATGAACGATGTTTGTGTATTGAATGGTCCAGTTAGTGTAGTTATCAATTGTGATGGTCATATTGGATATATTGGTGAAGATACTGAAGTGTCGCAGAAGTTTGAGGAGAAAGAGTTTGAAAGGATTGTAGATGCAACTGATTGTTGTCTTATACCAGGTAGAAATACTGTAGTTCCGGAGGGAGGCTGGGGTGCAGGAGTGGTTCTCTGGTTTAACATTATTAAACTTCCCCAGGGAGATGAACGACAGTATAATGCAGGGAGAGGGACCAGGGAAAGTTAGTCTCCCTTGATTCCTATAGTCCATATAGTGCTTGTAAGAGTGTAAGTTGCTTTGACTATAATTAAGACCCAAATTGCCACATTCTGCACAGGTCAATGTCTTTTAGCAGAGAAAAATAACTTGTTTTGTATGTGAATTTTCTCCACCTCCTCTCTCCCCTGCCCCAACAGGCCTCATTGTGAAACAAGACCATGCTCACACACAGGAGGAAAAACTGTTGACATTCTGTAGGGCAAGATGAAAAATTGCTTGACCATGATGAGAATGTTTGTTACATTTAGGCTTAGTCGATGGTCACACACACCCTGTATTTGCCGGAGACAGAGTCCATGAGTTTGCAATGAAGGTGAGTGCTTCTCACAACAGCAGATGGTTGTCAACTTCTTAATGGGTTAAGTTGCATTGCACCCTAATGCACCCTACTCTGTCTAACACCAGATGATTTTACTCATCAAGGGAAGAGTGCTGGTGTTGAATGAGTTAGTCAGAATATCTGTCCATGTGTTTAGTTAACCCAATAAGTTGCATTGCTCCCTAATGCACCCTACTCTGTCTAACACCAGATGATTTTACTCATCAATGGAAGAGTGCTGGTGTTGAATGAGTTGGTCAGAATATCTGTCCATGTGTTTAGTTAACCCATTAAGTTGTACTGCGTCCTAATGCATACTTTATTATTTTACTCTGTCTAACATCAGACAATCTTACTTAAGTCATGTTTACACTACGAGCCTAAGCCTGGCCTAGGCCTACCTTTGGACTAGATTTTTATAGTGTAAATGTACTACGGCCTGGTCTAGGTCAGGAAATCTGGGCCTATCAGAACAGGTGTTCCAGGTTTCCTGACCTAGGCCAGGCCAAAGTGCGTTTACACTACAAAAATCTAGTCCAAAGGTAGGCCCAGGCCAGGCTTAGGCTCGTAGTGTAAACACAGCTTTAGTTCTAAGCTTTCCTGTCTCATTTCCTAGCTAGCTGGTGCTTCATACATGGATGTCCACAAAGCAGGCGGTGGAATACATTTCACTGTCGACCACGTCCACAGAGCAACTGAAGATGAACTATTGACAAATTTAAAAGAAATTTTACGTAGAATGTTACAAGCAGGTACAACGTTACTTGAAGCAAAAAGTGGTTATGGACTTGATACAGAAAATGAAATAAAAATGTTGAAAGTTCTGGAGCGAGCAAAGAAGGAAGGGCCAGTAGAAATATCCAGCACATACTGTGGTGCCCATGCTGTTCCTTGGTAAGCAATATCTCATGTTCATCTCATGTCCATCTCATGTTCATCTCATGTTCATCTCATGTTCATCTCATGTTCATCTCATGTCCATCTCATGTCCATCTCATGTCCATCTCATGTCCATCTCATGTCCATCTCATGTTCATCTCATGTTCATCCCATGTCCATCCCATGTTCATCTCATGTTCATCTCATGTTCATTCTCATGTCCATCTCATGTTCATCTCATGTTCATCTCATGTTCATCTCATGTCCATCTCATGTTCATCTCATGTTCATCTCATGTTCATCTCATGTTCATCTCATGTCCATCTCATGTTCATCTCATGTTCATCTCATGTTCATCTCATGTTCATCTCATGTTCATCTCATGTCCATCTCATGTTCATCTCATGTTCATCTCATGTTCATCTCATGTCCATCTCATGTTCATCTCATGTTCATCTCATGTTCATCTCATTCTCATCTCATTCTCTGCACACATGTTGTCTATTGATGTTTCATTATTATTTATACTGGATATAGTTGTATCAGTTCTAAAGTGTACTCTCTAGAGGTCCAGGAAGGATCATCTCTTATTGATCCAGTGTTACTACAGAAGGAAATCGGAGTAGCTTGAGAAAACCTTAATTATTTTTGCTAATATTATTATTATTTTTAACTATATGCATTTTAAAAATAATTATATTAATTATTAAATAAGTAATTATTAATTAGTAATCATAACAAGTAATAATTATAATAATTAATTAGTAACTATAATTAATAATTAATTAATAATTCTAATTAATCATTGATTTTTTTTATACTATGTTAATTATTATTAATTGTATTATGTTATATTAATAATAATTATTATTTTTATTTAATTTTTTTATTTATTATTTTGCAATTAATTATTTTTATTTTATTACTGGAATGAAAGCCTGGTCACAGAGATACACCAAGCACTGTGACATATTAATGTTAATTTATCTTTGATTATTTCTAGTGGTCTAACAGCAGCAGAAGCCACATCAGATATCATCAACAAGCAACTGCCAAGTTTGAAATCTCTGCTGAGCTCAGGTGAACTTCATGTTGACAATATTGATGTGTTTTGTGAGAAAGGTGTATTTGAGCTTGCAGATACAGAGAAAATACTAAAGGCAGGAAAAGAAATTGGTCTTGAAATTAATTTTCATGCTGAAGAATTGAATCAACTCAACTCTGTCGAGGTACAAGATGTTAAAGTACTTATAACAGTTGGTTGGGGCTGCATATGGTGTCCAAGTCATGGTTATCAATATGAAATAGTTGTGATCACAGATATGAAATAGTTTGGATCTATCTTGTTTTTCTGAGCTGTATGTAAATCAGTATTTGTTGGTACAGGTATATATACTGTATCAACATTCTATTACATTGGTCTATCTTGGCATGGTATTGCCATTACCAAATGAAAAGAGCTAGTAGTAATATTGTGTGTTAAACAGAGCCAGTAAATATTTCTTGTGTTGATTCAATTAAGAGTTCATTTTGTTTGTAGTTAGGAGTGTCACTGGGGGCAAGAGCTGCCAGTCATCTGGAAGAAATCAGTGATAAAGGAATTGAAATGATGGGTGCCAGTTCTACAGTGGGGGTTGTGTTACCAACTACTGCATACATCTTGAAACTTAAACCACCCCCTGTGAGAAAGATGATAGAGCATGGTAAGTGTTGATAATGGTCACCTTTATCACCACCATCACCATGTTCACCAACTATCACTGTCCACCATCAGTAGTTATGATGGTACTGGATATTGTGATGCCATCATCACCACCACCACCAATGTCATCACCATGCGCATCACTGCCACCATTATCACCATAACCACCATTGTCACCATAACCAACATCACTACCACCACCAACATCACTACCACCACCAACATCACTACCACCACCACCAATGTCATCACCATCACTGCCACCATTGGTGTCCATAACCACCATCACTACCATCATCATTGTAATCACCACCACTGCCACCATCATCACCATCACTACCATCACCACCATCACCACCATCACTTATATATTTTCCCAGTGTAAAATGATAAATTATTACCATTTCCTGCTTCCAGGATGTGCAGTAGCGCTTGGCTCAGACTTCAATCCGAATGCCTTCTGTCTTTCAATGGTATGTACAGTATGCAACTTCCAAATTTCAAGTGTTTTGTTTCATAAACTGGAAATTTACCCTGGCAGATGAAAAAACTCTTCATCAAAAACTCTTTAAGACTTTATAATTCGTTTACGGTCTCCACATTTTCTTTGAAGCCCCTAGTGATGCATCTGGCGTGTGTGACATTTGGTATGACAATGAACGAGGCACTTGTAGCCAGCACAATCAATGCTGCAGCGTCAATAGGACGATCTCATTCTCATGGTTCTCTGGAGGTCGGAAAAGTTGCTGATATGTTAATCCTGGATTGTCCAAGGTAGTAATAAGATACAGTATTCGTAAGATACAGTTTGTAGATACAATTAAGTGGTGGTCCAGTGTAGGTAGTATTCTACAATAAGCTGTTGTGGTTTGTGTCTGAACTACCTGAAAAAGATATCTCAAACGTAGTGGTCCAGTGTAAGTAGTATTCTACAATAAGCGATGCGGTTTGTGTCTGAACTACCTGAAAAAGATATCTCAAACGTGGTGGTCCAGTGTAGGTAGTATTCTACAATAAGCTGTCGTGGTTTGTGTCTGAACTACCTGAAAATATATCTCAAACGTGGTGGTCCAGTGTAGGTAGTATTCTACAATGAGCTGTTTATGTTTGATGCTATGTCGGGCTGAAAGATAATGTTCGTGTTTTCCAGATGGGAACATTTAATATATCAGTTTGGTGGACATGATCACGTGATAAAACACGTCATAAAGAAGGGACGAGTGGTGCATTCTCGCATGAGCACGTGATTAAATATGGACGCAATGTAAGTTCTCAAATTTATTATTATTTATCAGCAGCATATCCTGCTGTATTTATTCCCATGGTAGATGGATATAGTCATATAAAACCATAGATGAATTTCCACATTTATTTTAATTATCCATAAAAATTCCCTTTATTCATACTCTACATACGTTAACCCCAAGTTGCAAAAAAGTTCTAGTGGCATGCATAGAAACGTGCTGGATAAGCTTTGCGCATATGAACACTTTAAAGAAACTGTTTTGTATTGTACGTTTTTAAAGAGTTCACATACTGCAGTAACTGTTTTAAAAGACCACCTCTATTTGTGCATAAAAAGTTGCAATTTACAATTACTACCCAATACCTAGAAACCCGTTATTATTAGCACGTGACTAACCAAATGTAGAAAATGTCTCAGATAAATAAAGTTTCGATTAACTTGCTTGCTTTTATGAGTTTCAAAGTTACGTCACTAACATTACATCTCAATCCAGTCACACATCGAGATCAGTGATCTCACTCTTCTATTGTTCGACTTCATGCACGTGATTTATCTCCAACCTGACTGAGTAAGATCTTTGGTGACACGTGACGGCCATGAATACGGACATGTAAATTAAGTGCAATGGCGTTATTAAAACTGCGTGGACAGTAACCACATTTGAACGGTCTCTCGTTCACGTGATCTTCCATGTGCTTGCCCAGCTCTGTTAAGGTGGCGCACATACGATCGCAGTATGCACAAGTGTAATTCTTGATTGGTTTCGAGCAGTTATGTAATAAAAATGTTTCACGATTATTAAAACCTTTCATACATTTCGAGCAGTGTGTAGCCTGCTCTGATGATCCTTCATTGTTGGGGAGTGTATACCAACGTCCCCTGTGGTACATAGAGTTCCTGTAATTCATAGCAGAGCTTGGTATATCTTCTGTTGAACTGTTAGGTTCATGTTTGACCACTGGTGTACTGGCTTTATCCATGTGTGTACTCACTGGCGCACTACCTTTATCCATTACTGTACTAGCTTTACTCACTGTTGTACTATCTTTATCCACCATTGATCTCTTAACTTTCTGAGGCTCTGCATCACTATTTCGACGTTTTCCGTAACTCCTTTCTTGGGTGACGATTCCTTTTGGTGGGTTGACACCTTTAGTAAAGATGAGAATGAATAAAATTTAACCAAAGATGACAAATTTATGTGCAGTAAGACTAATTACTACTCATGAACGCTCTTGCCCTTTTTGCATTGGTGGGAAACTTTGCATCATAACAGGAGTGATTTGTATTGTCTCCTAAGATACGCTTGTCAATTTATTGAAATTTATGAATGTTGAGCTTCTTGACTACCAAATCTAACTATTCTTTCTCGTCGGTGGCGGTTCTCTTTGGCGAGGAAGTTTGACAAAATATACTCACTCAGCGTGGTAATACGATAATACGAGCAAACAGGAAAAGTTGGTAGAGGGGGTGGGGTTGATAGAGTGGGTTGGGCCCCTTACCTGTAGCTGTGCTCTGTGATCACACGCGCGCACGCACGCCCGTCTTAAAACAAGATAATAAAGCGTACCTCTACTTCCTGTCTCATTCAAAGCCACAGGTATCCCAAAGATCAGGGAGTATCTACTATCATACCAGACAAGGAGTTCTTCGCCTACTTTAACATCTTTGGTAGTCCTGTAGTAAATACAGCCATGGTACTGAAATATCACCATGTTTTGTTCAAAGCGTTGACGAGCACAGCGAATGAAACGCATCCAGCTTGAGTTGGATTCATCTCTTGCGTCTAAGTAATGGCTGACCTGACCATCGTGGAAGATCTGTGGACAGGAAGGAAAGTTATTGATTTACTTGCAATGTTTGTCGCGCAAACGGCAAGGGAAGAAAGACTAGGTGTGTCGGAACGATATTTAAAAATATTTTAACTGTTCTACCATAAACTACCTTGGCGTGAGATTGCATGTTGTTTCAAGAGCACAGAAGAACACTTTTGAGTCTGGTTTAGTTCAAAGTTTCTGTGATCACAGTAGGAATTTTGCATCAGTAAATTTTGAAGGATTTGTAAGAAATGTTTCAGGAAACTATCTCAGTGTCAAACACAGAGTCAGTTCTCTCAAGCATTTCTTACAAATCCTTCAAAACTTACAATTTACCCATGCAAAATTCCTACTGTGATCACAGAAACTTTGATAGTGTCAACCATCCTTCACCCTACCTCCCACATATACTCCGTCTCAGTCCCTCGCTTGATCTGCTCTGGTCGCACCAGTCTTCCCTCGTATGGACCAATCCATGTCCCAGAAGGTATAGCGGCCTTGGCACACACTCCATACTCGATCCCAGGGATACTCGACGTACACAGCCCCACTTCATCCGGAAACTTCAATATTGCACTGTAATCTATTGGTGAGTCAATCTGACTTTGATTCACGAGTTTACGTAGCGAGTGTAAAGGCCCATGCATCGGGCACTCCTCTGGGTTTTCATTGCATATATCACACCCTAAAAACAGGCAATGTTGACAATTTTTTACGAGTTTTTGATCAGTTATAGGACTTCATAAAGGAGGTTATCCTAGGGGTTTTTAGGGAACAAGGGAACATGTGGGAACATGTAAGCTTAGGATACAAGGGAACATGGGGAACATGTAAGCTTAGGGTACAAGGGAAGATGGGGAACATGTAAGCTTAGGATACAAGGGAACATGGGGAACATGTAAGCTTAGGGTACAAGGGAACATGGGGAAATCTTTTTTAGGAACAAGGGAACACATGAATTCTGTGGAAAGGAGCCTATATACCCTTAATTTGAACTACAATATCTTTCTCCTACTGAAATAGTTCAACTTACATGAATTTCCTTTTGGTTCTTTATTGATATGAAGATGTTTAATTCTTTCTTTTTGTATTTTTGTCGTGTCAATCAACTGCACTTTCTTATGACCATATAGATACGCTCGTAGATGTTCCATCGTAAACACTCCTGAGGGATGGAGTTTTGTTGCCGTTGATACTTCGCCATGTTCTGACATTTTCTCTGTTTTCTAAATGGTTATTACAAAAACAGTGTTGTGTCACTGCGCTTGTTGTCAGGGGAGAGCAACCCCCGCAAGCTTTTGAATGATTGCTGAATAACTGTATCTGTATCTGTATAACAAAGCTGTAACAATAATTTTCCAACCATGAAAGCATTATTAGGCTATAAATTAAGCACGAACTAGGTTATTACAATAACAGTGTTGTGTAACTACGCTTGTTGCCAGGGGGGGTACCCCCTCCCCCAATAATTTCTGTGAAGCCTTGGAATGATATAGCTGAATAACTGTAGTGTAACAAAGCCGTAACAATAATTTTTCAACCATGGAAACATTAATTGGCTATAAATTAAGCTATATATTGCATGGAGTTAGTAAGGCAAAAAATGTAAAGAACTAAGGTTAGCAGCAATAAAACGGATAAAGGGCGGTCATACGTTGTTTGCGAGCATATCTTTAAGCCGTAGTGCATGATGCGCTTTGTGGCGTGTAGATATACCGACGTCAAACGAAGTACTTGTACTGTATATTGTTAAAAACGAGGCCTTTTAACACCCCATGAATAAATAATACACTTTCTGGTTGTAACATTAAAATAATACACTATCTTACTGACCCATTTTCAATGCACTCCCTGCTTAACATTTAAGAAGATATTATTTTCTGTGGCGATCGCTCTGAACTTATCTGGATAAGTAGTTTGCTTGGTGCAAATGACATTGTTTAAAAATTGTTGAATTACATTATTCCCTCAGTAAGATACTGTGACGCAAGACAATGTAATACACTTTTGAAATTAGATCAAGTTAAACAGTACACAATGTTACGTATTTTCACCTACGAAGTACAGTTTCCGTACCGTATAGTTCATCTTTATTCTTTAAACGAATAATGAAAAAACATGAGTTTAGCGAGTACATTCCAAATGCAAGGGCACACTATATTACATCGTACATTATTGTTTACTATAAAGATTTTCCCCCATGCTAATATATTCTAAGAAATAAGAAGCTTAACAGTTCAGGAATAGTAATTTTAAGCGTGCTTACCTTGAAACTAAAAATCTTGCTTGAAAGGTATGCCTGTGTCGTGAATTAAAACGCTACAGTCCTTTTCATAAAAACAACTGTAAATTTTTGTTCACTTTCAATAATTTAACACTCATTAATAAATAAAATTTCAGGTTATAACTCGTCTTGCATGTGTTTTATTGTTGTCCATCTCGTGCGCTGGTTGGCTGGCCATGAAGCTCGCACATTTCGCCTCCTTATGCATCAATGAATTACCTCAAAACAACCTGCACACAAAATTAATTATTTAAACCCAAAGATATTATCATTTGGGTGCACAAATAAACTAAAAACGAAAATTAAATAATATTCTGTCCATTTTTTTAAAGAAACAATGTAGATATATAGACTAGAATCTATGCCCTGTGTATGATTTCGTTAAAGAGGCACAGCTACGACCAAAGCTTAAAATCTTGATGTGGAATTTTTATTAGACTGATATATTCCGAAATGATAGACCTGTTTGCCTATTGAAATCAAGTAGTAAAAAACTAAACATTGACATAGCTTGAAAACCTTCCATGAAATATGAAATAACTTTTTCCAAATAAAACACTTTATTGAATTCATTTTTAAAATGATTTGTAATGGAGTTAACATAATGGACGGCTTTGTTACGCTTGTCAGCTCCTGTTGACAATATCTAATGCATTTCTCTAGTCATTTTACTTTGAAGTGTGCCCTGATTAATTATTAAAGCATCTTGCATGCCAAGCCGAGCGAAACATTTGTCGCAATTTATATATTACATTGATACAATATTCGAGCAAATAACACGAAAAATTAAAGTGGGATTTAAATATCTACAGTTGATTAAAACATGCTATCTTTTGAATGAATTATTTTTGCCTCTCAAATCGAGAAGCCTGTAGAAATCCATTTTAGTAAATGTTAATTTTCAAGGCAATAAAGTTTTAGGATATAGAACAGATGTTAAAATAGAGATCTTATTGTATTTTAGTAAGTCTTGATTGTAGTAATTGCTGAAGCGCTCACATGTTCATGGGAAACTGGCAAACAAGAGTTATCCTTAGGGCTGTCTGATTCCACGCAACCAGTCATGTTCATGCGCGTCACGCCTCGATGCAGGCGTTCGTAGTTTGTTGTGTTGCTTCACGTGCTCGACACATGAAAGCGCGGCAAAAATGGGTTTTCGGTGACACAATTGTCAGAGCAAGCGCGCTTTTCACTTCTGAGATCGTGGCTTCGATTTCCGCTCGGACTCGTCACACTTATGTGGAAAAGAGTCTGTCAATGCTCTACCGAAAATCGTAGGTTTTCTCCGGGGAGGTTGACAGGGTGGGTTGAGATTATCCCCTAACTGACCCTTCCACCGTAGCTGTACTCCATGATCAGACATGAGTCATAAGGTGGCTGCCAGAGACGCCCTTAGAAAACCTTGAACTTGATCAGGTTGAGCTGCATGCGTCCATCGCAAGTCATGATAGCACAAGATTTTCGGTATTTTATTGTTTATTTATTTGAATATTCACTATAAATGTACATAGTATACCACGCAATATGCCGCGCAGTATATTCAGTCTCTCACTCCAACCAAACTCTCTACTTGTTGAAGATAGCGTAGCTCCAAAGGTAGAGGACGTTTTCTGTGATCAGACACAACCTCACACTAAATAAAAAACAGAGCATTAGCTAGAAGATAAAGTGAATTCCTATATCTATATTTATACTGGATAGCTCTGTCAGTTCCGCTGTTCTCCTCAGAGGTCCAGTAATTGCCATCTCTTATTGATCCAGTGTTACTACAGGAGGAAACCTAAACTAAACTAACTTTATTTATACTGGATAGCTCTATCAGTTCTCCCTAGAAACTGTTCTCCCTAGAAGTCCAGAAAAAATAAGGCTGTTCTTAGCTGCACGCAAAACTAATCGAAACTGCCACGTGCCAATTGGTAAAACCAACAACCACATTTACCCCACAATAACCACACTTACCCCACAATCACTGACATTGGATCTCGGCACCGCAGTGACGTCATATTGATATCCTCGGGTCATGTCGTAAAAATCTGTGTCGACATTCCACATGGATTTGTCCAACTTAAGAAAATGCCCCTCTGTTGTAAATATATATTTTGATGCTTGCTTGTTTACTGGATTCTCTTGATCAAATAACTAATGAAAGAAAATGAGGTCAACTTCAACTGCATTGATATCCCGATCAAACAATTATGAGAGTACATGAGAGTTGGCAGGAACACGACCTTGCTGAGCTCTTCTTAATTTGTTAATCTAAAGTTTGAAATGTCCCATCTCATCAACTCTTATTCTCGTCCGGGGCTTTCTATAGTCACCACATACTTACAAGATATAAATATTTCGATGTTTCTGACAAGAAAAAACTTTCCATTCTATCTTCTTGTGATTTATCCATAACATTATGCAGAGTCGCATAGCCGCACCTAATACAGCGAAATTAAATGTCTGCCAATTCGTCCTATGTTACCTAAGGAGGGACCTTTATTTATACTGGATAGCTCCATCAGTTCTAAACTGTTCACCCTAGAGGTCCATTAAGGGTAATCTCTTATTTACCCAGTGTTACTACAGGAGGAAACCTAAACTAAACTAACTTTATTTATACTGGATAGTTCTATCAGTTCTAAACTGTTCACCCTAGAGATCCATTAAGGGTAATCTCTTATTGATCCAGTGTTACTACAGGAGGAAACCTAAACTAAACTAACTTTATTTATACTGGATAGTTCTATCAGTTCTAAACTGTTCTCCCTAGAGGTCCAGAAAAAATAAAGCTGTTCCTTATTGTTCCGAGTGGCCGTTATTTCAATGAACCTCACCTTGCCTTAGCATGTGTCTGCAAGCCGTGCATAATATCTTTGCCTACATGCAGGTAGAACGGGTGTTGCGTCGCCTGATAAAGGAGATATGTTGACTCTACCAACTCAGGGCGTAAGGGATAGAAGTGCACGTGAGAGACACGTGAGTTCCAATCAAATCTCTCCGGTAATGCATCGTAACGTTTCCATATAGCGTAATACAGCGCATGCGTACAAATGGCATCATCAATGTCACCATTCAAAACCTGCAATCAGTCAAAGACGAGTTAATATAGAATCCAAGCTTTTCCAGATTGACTGCGCTCTTCAGACACAAATCCGTTTGGGCAATCTTTTGCCCGGCCTAAATGTGGTGTTGATGTTGCCATCTCTGTGACGGGGGGGGGGGTTGTTTCCTGCAATATGCAGTTGTCTCATTATAATTTCACCTCAGTCTCATGTGAGAAGAATACTTCAAGCTTGACAAACACCGCAGGCTTTCTCCGTGTTCTCTGGTTTCCTCTTGTAGTAACACTGGTAACCTAGGGATAGCTCTTACTGGACATCTAGGGATGATAATAGTTTAGGACTGATAGAGCTATCCAGATTTACCAAGAAAATTCCGATGTTGAAAGTGCCATCATACCTGAACAGCCGCAAATGAAGCGGAGAGCGAGTCAACCCAAGTATTTAGTATCTTGCCATTCTCCATATTCACATTGACATACATAGGAACATCCCCACTCCCAGAATTGCATAATTTGCGTCTGAAACATTCACGAAATCACACGTAAGCCAATACATACAGAATGAGCGGCCGTCCACGATATACAAACACGAGGTGTAGCCAAATGGTTGTATATCTTATAAAACACAGACGCGATGACTTTCTCATTTTTATGTGCGCGAATTTTGTCAAACAAATTGTCCTCTCACCCTTTCCTCATGTACGTCTGGACACTTTTATACATCTCATTGAATTTTTGTAAATCGTTTGGGTCGCCAAAAACGATGTAACCCTAAAAAACAGCAGAATTGATAGCGAGGTTTCAACAAGAAATATTGTACAGCTCCTGATGGTCAACCTGCAGTTGTCAGAGTGAGAAAATAGTGGAAATATTTTCATTATGTCTGATAGTCTTGTACTCAGGAGAACGATATATAAAAGAAAGCGATGTAGTTTCTCCTAAGTGTCAACAGTGACGACCATCTGCCCTGAAGCAAGAAATGAGCTTTGTTTCATACCTTGAGTAAATATTCATAAAGTGAGTCCATTCCTGCCCCAATCCCGCTCATTCCCGACACCCATTCACCAGAATCAACATCTATAATATTACCTGAAATTGTACGAACAAAACATTGTGAAAACTGCGAAGCTCGCTTGGCGTTTGGTACATGTAAATGTTCGTAAAATATTATAAGTGCGCCTTTTTGCTTAACAACGTCATACAGTCACGATCCAATGATCGGAATTTTGCATTGCTTTTGAAACTCCACTGTTCTCCATGCCAAATAGTCTCTTATTGTTTTGACACGATTACAATGTTGACTCTTTGACCAATGTTCGTTTCCTAGAAATACACGCATGCAGAAACCCCTCGCCTGCAGCTTTTCACGCAGAAACAGTTTACCAGTTTCCTGGTAACCAATTTCCTGGTGAACTGCAGGATCCAGTAATAAAATGTTCGTTGATAAGTTAGCATTGGAGAACTTATTCTGTACTAAGTTGATGTAGAGACACCAAGCCTCTGAACCTGATCCCAACCCTGACTCGAACTTTTCCAACGTATCTTTGGTATGACGTCACTACATCAGCTGAGTGCAGAATAATTTTTTCCTGGTTAACATTCCTCGTTGGTCAGTGGTACTGGTCAGGTTCGTTGGTAATGGTGGTCTTGGTTGGTTGTCTAAACTAATTATTCATGAGTAAAACACAAAGAAAATCTTCAATGTCGTTGATACCTTGGTACTAGGATAATATCACAATTCACTTTTAATTTCTCATTGGTTCGTTTGAAGTTTGAACTGATAAATTATGGCTACGTTTCCACTATACCGGATAGTTTTCCGTAGCGGCGCGAAAAAGCACCTATCAGATACGGAATGTACAACTTTCAGACGCTGAGCGAAACAACATCTCTCTGTTGGAATAATTCCTCTGAAAATAGCGTTCCAAAAAGGTAGGATTTGGTGATTTTTCACGTCGCTACGGGAAGCTATCTGGTACAGAGTCAACGAAGCTTATATCACGCACTATAATGATTTTCAAATGTTCTTGCCTAATAAACCAGTCTTTTTGGACCTAAATTTCCATATTGCTTCCAGAGCATTCTTTGCGGTAATCTCATAGGTTGGATCACCCAGGAGTCGACTCAAGGTGCCAAATTCTAAGAGAAGAGTCCCCACACCCGCAGTGCAGGTTGTCTGGGAGGATAACGCCGGGACACCATATTTCAGGTTGACCTATAGAAAATACTGATCTTAATAAATAACTGAATGTTATTTTTTTGGTTGACTATGGAAAAATACACTGATCTCAGAAAATAACTGGACACTATATTTCAGGAGGGGCTGGTTAGAGGGGGGTGATATCAGAGGGTGTGTTTATTTGAGGGGCAAGGTCAACTTATGGACGATAATAATGGTAAGGCACTCAGTAAAGTTATGAATTTGGGGGGGAGGGGGGGGGGGCAGGCCCTTCAGCTTTAACTTACCCTTGGATAAGGAATTCCTAAAGATGTGTTTTCAAAAGCATTAAGTAATCTATTGGCTAAATCATGAGCCAGTAATAATAGTTCATCATTATAATCTCTTGGAATCATATCTCCAAATGGTTGATGAGTGTCCCGGATTATTAAGTGAGCTGCCAGCAGTCCACCTAGGACTCTAAAATACAAAATCTATATACATAGCTGTATACCAATTATAGTATTTCTCAATTAAGCATTTTTATGTTGATAGTAGCATATTAAATAGACTAAGTAGGGAAATTATTCAAGTAGTTTGTTCATAGTTAAATAGTGGGTTTCATTTCAAGCACTATTGTGCAGCAGATGCTGGCCAGCTGGCACTTATCAGAGTGGGAAAATGTTTAAGTGTTCCATTATATGGAGTAGTTTTGTATTTAGAGGCAAATTAATAGAATTGAGAGATGCAGTTTAATTTGTGTGCTCCTATATTAATACATTAAGTACCAGTGCTCTCCCCTTGATGAGTAAAATCATCTGGCATTAGACAAGAGTAAAATAATAAAGTAGGGCACATTTTAAGGGTACAATGCAACTTAATGGATTAACTAGACACATGGGCAGATAGGCTGGTAAACCCATAGATTGCGAGTGGTCTCTCCTTGATGAGTAAAATTGTCTGGTGTTAGAGTGAACTAGTAAGGTAGGGTGCAATGCAACTTAATGGGTTAAAGTATCAACATCTCTGATCACCATCTATTGCATGGCCTGCCATCAACCTTACCTTATCGTAACTTCAAAAACTTGAACTGTATTATCTTTCTCAAATGAAACATTGTCTATTATTAACCCTACAGCTCGTTTAAACTCGCTACTATTTCCCATAACCTAAAATACACAATTAACCATCAATTAAATGAAGTTAATAAATTATTATAGTTAATTATTAAATGATATATAAATCATCTTACAGCTAATGTGCCTAAAGATTCGACCAGAGACAAGGAATAATCGCCCAGAACATCATTGATATTTATATTTGACCTAGAAATATTAAATAAAATGATCCAATTAATTTTACTGCCGCTGCCTAGGGGCTAGGACAGGCTAGGACCCTATTAAAGTTAAGTATTAAAAATACAGTATACACAATAATATACGTACGGGTTAGCGTAATCTGGGCCTCGTCCTGTACAATGTATTGGATCTAACTCGTCCATTGGATAAGCATACTTGATATAGTTATCATATCCAAAATAAAACATCTGTTTCGCTTCATCTCGCAATCTCAGTCGATCACTTTCGCCAAAATAGCTGTACACCGTTGTGTAGTTTCGCCATTGTGACCCATTTTGACGTGAAAATAGTTTAAAAATATCGAAATTTTGCACAAAATTAACTAGGACTACTAAGACTATAAAATATTGAATTTCCATGTAAAAATATTTGTCATTTAGTAATGAAAATAAAGGACATTTCTAAATATTTTTACGAACGTGATTTAAATTTGTTTACTTCCCATCCAATGACGTAACAACACGTCCGCAACTGATCTCAATGTCTGGATCCTCTGGTCTGGATCGTTCAATGCAGGGTAATAATTCCGTACGGGTATTTGCACTCAGTATTTTCCGCCATATTGAATTTCACTGACTAAACTTCAAGGATTTATAGCTGTTTTATTTGAAAAAATCATCCATTTGACAATGCCTGTTGAAAATTTAGAAGAAGAAGGACTGCCTAAGAATCCTAATCTTGAAATAGCGCAATGGCGGTATACTCTGACCGCACCACATGGAGTTAACAAAGATGAAACTGCCACTAAACTGTTGAATGCTATCAAAGAAAATAGTAAGTTGTGAAGTTTATAACTTATTGTTGTTTTCTGTCTATTAACAGTGAGTTGACAGAGGATTGCTAACTTGCCCTGGTATTCTCCTAACTTTATTAGACATGGCGCCATTTTATGAAGAAATCTGTCCTGATCTTGGTTGGATTATTGACCAAACTTTGCTAGAGAACATGAAAGTATCCAATAAGACTGAACTGAAGAAGCTTGAGAAGGCTATTGAAGATGCCGAGACTAATCTGGGAGAAACTGAAGTGCGAGATGCCTTGCTGACAAAAGCAGAGCATCTCTGTAAAATAGGCGACAAAGTATGTCAGAAACTGACCGCAAATAGATTCATCCCCCTTCGCGTATTTGTTCCACGATTTCTTAACACCCTGCTACCCTAGCCCATCGTGGACCTTTAATATCTAGCCTGTCTAACCACCTTACCCCTTGCGGAACAAATCTGTGAAACATGACAAAATCTATTTGTACTATGACCATACTGTGATAGATCTGAACGGAAAGTTTGGAAATTGCTTAGGGCCATTCCATTTAATATACTCCCCCCCCCCCCTATGGACGAGAATTTCTGAGGGGTGTTGAAAAAGCTGTTTCTGAGGAGTTGTGTGCATCGGCATCCTTTGATCTTTGCATTTTTTCTGAGGGGTAAGGCAAAAATTTCTTAATTTCTGGGGGGTGTTTGTGTCGGCACTTTGATTTTTTTTTCTTAGGGGTTCAAATTTTATTGACCTCGTCCATGGGGGCACATTAAATGGAATGGCTCTTGCCGAAGATTTTGAAAATGTTAAATTACCATTACAAAATATTAAATTACAGTACCATTTATATTTTTTGAACTAATTTCCATTAGGAAGGCGCTTTGACAGCTCTGAGAAAAACTTATGAAAAAACTGTGACGACTGGGTTTAAATTGGACATCATATTTTATTATTTACGGATTGGTTTATTTTATATGGACAATGATTTGATTACCAGAAATATTGAAGAAGCTAAAAGGTAAGACTTTTTGAAGGACGTTTTCATACTTGTTAATCAGTTATTTCACAAACAGAACCCCCCCCCCCCACCCTCCCCTGCTAAGGGAAAAGTTTTTCAATTTGGAAAGGCAATATCACTATTACCACAATGATTTCTCTGAACCATTCCAGGGGAAATGTTTTACCAGAGTACTGCTGTGTGTCACTCCAATCTGGTTGGAAACATTCCTGAATTAATTACCAAAACACAAATGCATTACAATAGACAACTTGCATGTTAGACTAATTTTTTATTTAGGCAAGAAAAAGTAGATTCCTGTAAAGAACTTATTAAAATCAGTAAAATTGCAAAATTTGGTTACGAAATGTTGTAAAATACAGAAAATATAGCCTTGCGAAGTTTGCATATTTTCAGTATGTTTGTATTACGTGCGGAAATTGTTACCATTTTTGAGTCGAAAATGGTGACAATTTCCGCACGTAATACAAATATACTGAAAATATACAAACTTCGCAAGGCTATATTTTCTGTATTTTACAACATTTTGCAACCAAATTTTGCAATTTTACTAATTTCATTATGTTCTTTTTAACTGTTGTGTTTGATTCCCTTCTCTTTACTTAGCTAATTAGATTAAAATTTAGTCTAACATGCAAGTTGTCCATTGCTTCTAAACAAAATATTTTGTATTGCAGTCTGATTGATAAAGGTGGCGATTGGGACAGAAGAAATCGTCTAAAGGTCTACCATGGTTTGTACTATTTGTCCATTCGAGACTTCAAGAATGCAGCAGAAAATTTCCTTGAGTCTATATCAACATTCACGTCCTATGAACTGATGGATTACAAAGTTTTTGTCACCTATACAGTTTTAACAAGCATGATTGCGTTGCCAAGGACACAACTCCGGGAGAAAGTAAGGTTTTGATTTCTGAGCTTTGATGAGTTTGACTACATTGATCAAATTAATTTGTTTTCTTGGTTTTAGGTTGTGAATGGTTCTGAAATACTTGAGATGTTGCATCAGTTGCCTGATATTCAAGAGTTTCTAATGTCTTTCTATGATTGCCATTATGATAAATTCTTTCTTTCCCTTGGTAGGTCTCTTATCATTATCATCGTCAATATCATCATTATCATCATCATTATTATCATCATCAATATCATCATCATCATCATTATTATCATCATTGTCATCATTATCATCATCATTATCTTCATTATCATCATTATCATCATTATCAATACCATCATTATCATCATCATTATTATCATTATTATCATCATTATCATCATCATCACCATTATCATCATTATCATCACCATTATCATCATTATCATCATCATTATCAATATCATTATCATTATCATCATTATCATCATCAGTATCATCATTATCATCATCATTATCATCATCATCATCATTATCATCATCATCAGTATTATCATTATCATCATTATCATCATCATTATCATCATCATCATCATTATCATCATCATCATTATCATCATTATCATCATTATCATCATCATTATCATCATCATTATCATCATTATTATCATCATCATTATTTTCATCACCAAAATTAGAGAGGTTCAGATTTGACTTCCACCACCACTACCTCTTACTGGCTTAGTATGCATCTGATTGGTTAATCAGATATATGAAACTCATCTGATTGGTTAATCAGATATATGAAACTCATCTGATTGGTTAATCAGATATATGAAACTCATCTGATTGGTTAATAGTCTCTTAATGGTTGCAGTGGTGGCAGTGGTCAAATCTGAACCTCTCTATTATCATCATCACTCCACCATCATCACCAGCACAATTATCACCACCACCACATACACCATCACCATCTGTCCACCATCACCTTCTGTCCACCATCACCACCTGCCACAATTATCACCACTACTACCATCACAACCATACATTTCATCTTTTCCACAGCCAAAGTTGAGCAAGAAATGAAACAAGATCGATACTTCCACTCACACTATCATTACTATGTCCGTGAAATGAGAATACTGGGTTACAGTCAACTGCTGGAATCATATCGCAGTCTTACACTACAATATATGGCCAATGCATTTGGTGTCAGTGAGGAATTTATAGACAGGTATGCTACAATATGTCATCACCTTTTCGGTGTGTTTCAGTAAGTGTTAAATGCACTGTGAATGCAGCAGATCAACTTTAGAAATGCTGTCACTGGTATCTCTCAATACAGCCTTGTGAAAAGTTCTTAGCCTCAAGTGGCTATGTATAGAGCCTCATGTTCAGACGGGTGTATTCTATAAGAAAAGAATGAGCATAAGTTGAGCATATTTCTTGTGTCTTAGGGAATTATCAAGGTATATTGCAGCAGGCAGATTGAACTGCAAAATTGATAAAGTCAATGGAGTCGTAGAAACAAACAGACCAGATCACAAAAACTGGCAATATCAGGTAATAAGTTCTTTATGGGACTGCATTGCGATAAAACATATAATACTTTTTGTTTGTGGAAACACCACGTAAATTTATTACTGCAGTAATAAATTTATGTGGTGTTTCCACAAACAAAGATATTATTAATTAATATCAGGTAAGTACCATGTGTACTTAAAATATTTCACACACAGAGATATATTCCAAGAACTACCAACAAAAGAATATGAACAAGCTTTTGTTGTTAGAGATGCAACTACCTGAAAAATATAAGCTAAGGAGAATTTCGATGTTTCGAAATCGTTTCTAGCTTTTGGCTGGTAACTTCAGACGAAGGGCCTTCGCTCGAAACGTCGAAATTCTCCTTGACTATACCTGAAATGTATATTTTTCAGTTAGTTGCATCCCTAGCAACGAAAGCTTGTTCATATTATTGCCTCTACCTACACTGGATCACACAGTTCAAGATTATAAACAAAAGAATAGCATGTTGATTTATTTTTTCGTTTATTTGTTATTTAGTCCGTGATTAAGCAAGGTGATCTGCTACTAAACCGAATTCAGAAGTTAAGTCGTATTATTAACGTGTAGACCACGTGACTTGTGTGTGGTATTATTAAACATTCAACATGTATTAAGCTTTTGAGACGTTTCATAACTAGATATTATAATATACACATTTCATACTCTGTCTCATTAACCACAGTTGTCCAGTAAATTTGTGGTGCTAGATTTTGCCAGTTTGAATATATAAAAGTGTTTTGACTTTTACCTGGAAAGTCATCACTTTCATATGTTTTGGCCAGTGAGAATCTAACACAAAAATCCTGTATTTCAAGACCTATTTTGTATTGGTTTAATCCTATGGTTTAATCACATTGATAACGTGTAAAGGTATGATTGATGGGTTGGACAACATGGGTGACTGTAGTACATCCATCCATTGTTACACTGTACAAAAACACGCAAGACTAAAAACTACATCACATATTAAGGCACAGGTATTCCATGTCTTTTAAATGATCCACTCTGGTACAGATCCGTAATTTCAACAGCCATAAGTTCACATTTAAATATAAAGAAGTCATCTATGTATCCATCTAACGGTCGCTCGTTCCTATAGTCTCCAATGTTAGCACAACCCCAGTCAGGGGAGAGGGCGTCCACCCTTGCGTTTTTACCGAATTTTTGTAACTGTGAATTAGTACTTAGTTTTCCATTTTCTCCGTTGATGTAAATTTTTGCCACTCTTGTGGAAGTACGATACGTCCCTGCAATATGAGTCCAGGTATCCGTTGGAACGCTTGATTCTAATTAGAGAAAAATTGAGACATTGTAAGGTGATAAACACAAGAAAGAACGAACCACTAGCCTGATATGATTTTAATACCCGATATGATTTTAATACCTGATATAACGTTAAACACAGTCCTTTCCATATGATCTCTGTGAAGCCAACGAACTTTCCCATCATTGATTTCAAAATGAAATTGCGCTTTCCCATTGGCTACATCCGATGCGCACGTATGAAAGAGTTCATGTTTGCCAGTTGATGACGTCGTCTTTACCCATAATGCAACAGTAATAGCAGAACTTGGTCGATTGTGAAAGCCTTTTGCTCCAAGTGAGACGTTGGAGTGTTTTGGCAAGTGTAGACATTTGGCAAACTTTCCGTTGTTTTCAAGTTTCGCTGTACCAGCTATTGTCCCGTGGTTGGCATTGTTTGAAGTGTCGTACGCGCGGCCATCCATCAACGTATCGAATGTATAGTGTACACTTAAACACCCCGCGTCACCTTAAATGACAAAAACTATCAGGTGTAACTGTGAAAAGCAGAAACCAACAGGCCAAGCCACCACGAATACACATCAAAACAGACTCAACTCGCATGAGTCCTGTATAACCTCAGATCATTTTAAGATAGCTCTACACATTCCAGAACATGTACTACCTTTAAATGATCTAACCATGCTTAACTCAGCAGTGAGTTTTGTACAACATCAGATCACTTTAGGGTAGCCCACATTCAAGAACATGCACTATTACCTCTCTGTTATCCAACTATGCTATTATATGGCTTAACTCATCAGTGAGTTATGTACAGCATCAGATTACTTTAAGGTAGTTTACGTTCACACTACCTCTGCATGATCTAACCATGTTTAACTCAACAGTGAGTCCTGTACAAGATCAGATCTCTTTAAAGTAGCTCACATTCAAGAACATGTCTTACCTCTGTATGATCCAACCATGCTTAACTCAGCAGTGAGTTCTATACAACATCGAATTACTTTAAAACAGCCAATATTGATGACCATTTTACTAACTCTATCTATGGAGTCCAATGCATGCATGGACCATGCTGAACCTCGATCATTGGAGTCCAATGCATGTATGAACCATGCTGAACAACTCAACGTTGAGGGACAACACTTTGAAAGAAGCAAAGAGCAAGATCTCTATTCTCACCTGGACAGTTGAGGAGGTTACACATTCTGGTCACATTTTTCATTCCTTTCTTTCTTTGGACACCTCCGCCACAAGATAAGCTGCATTTCTCCCAGATCTCCTGCACAGCTATGGTAGAAGTAAATCAATCACTTCCATGATACAGTATAAATTGTCAATACATTCGAAGTTCACTACCATGTGTAGCACCATATACAGGAAAGTAGGAGGGGGTGCTAATCATCCTTACTTGCAGCTAAGACTTCAAGCTCAACCTGATCGAGTTACATGTAAAGGGTTTTACTGTCGATGCAATGGAAGTGTTGATAAAATATTGCACCAATTCCTTTCCTCAAGTTGATCAATTCATTTGATAGATTTCGTTTCAGAACCGATTGACCAATAGGAAACGCACAGGAAGTAAAAAGAAATTTGAATTCGTATGAATTGATCAACTTGAGGAAATGCATTCATGCAATATTTTATAACACTTCCATTGCAATATTGCATCGACAGTAAGGCTGCCTTATGACTCATGTCTGATCACGGAGTACAGTTACGGTGGAGGGGTCAGTTAGGGGCTAATCCCAACCCATCTGTCAACATTCCCTGTGGGAGGAAACCGGACTACCGAGAGAAAACCCAGGACTTTCAGTAGAGCGTTGACTCATTTCACATGCATGAGTGTTACACGAGTCCACAATGAGCATCAAACCCACGATCTCAGAAGTGAAAGGCGCTTGTTGTTCTGACGATTACGCCACCGAATAAAGCCCCATATCACGCTTACATTACCTTCAGTAGTAAATAGCTGTAAATGAACACTTATGAAGATCACCAGTACATATTTCAGAGCCATCACACTTTATTACATTTCTAGCCTGAAATAAAAACATAAATAGATATAGTTCGTGTAACTGTCAACCGGTCGTATAAAACACTCAACTATTTACTACTCCTTTCGTAGTTAAAGAGTGGTATATGCGATTCTTATTGGTATAGTTAACTTTAACTAATTTCTTTATACAACGGGCCCCTGAAGTTGAACACCATCCTCTGGAATGCTTACTGAAACTGGCCAATAAGATACGGATGCATGTCTTTTTTAATTCAAAGTGATGTGCGGACAAATTTCAAATCACAACTTTGTTTAGGTTGTGATTTGAAAAGGACAATATTTAAAAAGGAAAATGTCCATAACAACATATATTTCTTACTTACCAAACATTGGTTAAGAGACGTACAATTACATATTACTTCCAAACAATCAATTTTCCTTGCGCTAAGTAGTAAATATGATAAATTTTGTATTTAATAAAAATTGTCATGAAAAGAAAAATATTTTGATAAAAAGTTTGTCAAGTATATCAATATAGCAGGTAGCGAATCTAAAGAAACATTTGAAAGATTTTATTGACGAAACCTCGCTATAAATTAGCATAGTCCCTAAGTTACTTGGAAATTTTTCAAAGGTATTTAGGTTTTTGAAGAGAAATTTTTCCACAAAACTCGGGCTATATTACTAGTCGAACCAATGTGGGAGAATTTCTCGAACGTAGCAAACTATGGGTGTTATTAAATACAACGACATGGGCTCCTTGGGGGCTTCTCTGGTACCAGTAAATTCTCACAAAGACTGTTAGTTTTTTTGTTAAGTTTAATTTGCTTGTCTACACGTTAAAATATTTACTACTTTGAATTTTGTTTTAATATTTATCTTTCCTAAGCTTGAATTTCACAGTTTCAATCGTCTACACGTAGTTATCAAGAGTCAAAATCCTGGTATTCTAGCAATCTTTTTCTTCGTCGGGGTTCTTGTTTGACTACCAGTTGTTGCTAATGGTGAATTCAATGGATTTCTAGGTGATTTATCAACTAGATTTGGAGTTGAATTCTGGCTTCTCTGACCTCTCTGGGACGTGGTTTTATCAGGAGTGCGCAAATTCTTGGCATTTGTCTTTTCTCTTGAAACAACTTGAGGCTCTTGACTGAGATTAGGCGAGCCAAAATTGTTCGAGCTGCTTTGAGAAGCAATATTTAAGACAGTCGCTTTAGTTGGTGTCTTAGGTGATCTCACGGAGTTTGGAGAAAGTTTTTTAGTTTCAAGGGATAAAAATTCTTGGTTCACGTTTCTAAGTTCTCTAACGTTTGGCGAAGCTACGTGTTTTTCCTTTACAGCAGTATGCTGATTCGTTAAAGTTTCCAAACGTTTCTTCTTCAATGGACTTTTCCCCTCTCTCTTCTCATCATCTTCATTCCTCTTTCTGGCCGGTGACTTGATATTCTCGCGTGTTTTCCTAACCGTCGAATCCATATTCTGATCTGTATTCCTGACTGGCGTAGTATCGCGTGTGACCTGTGAACTCTCCCGTTGCTCTTTTTCTAACCATGTTTTAACAGCGTCGAGCTTGTCATCCTCAGTCTCGTTGTTCTGCTTTCCTGAAAGGTCAATAGGCACTGCCTCGTCCGAATACCAATTCTTTAACAAAACATTTCCAAGCGGTTCACTACATTGTATACCTTCATCAAACAATTGCAATGTTCCTGCTTCATAGTTCAAACCTAGACATTTTCTTGTTAGAACTCTCCTTTGACAATCTGCTTTCCTAACCTTGTCAATTTGATCAGAGAGCTCTTTAGACATCTTGCAATAAGGACAAATCTCTGCTGGGTCAACACTGCGACCAGAAGCATTCATAACTTGTGTTGTCCTATCACTGTTGGCAGAAGAGCCTCGCAAACCTCCATCACTACATAAACTACAATGAACTTCAATTTCTGCCAAGCATGAAAACAATTCCTCTCGAATAATACCAACATCTTTTGAATCATAATTTTCATCTAAATCTCCTAGCGTATCTTTATTGTCTTCATCAACATGCTCCATAAGACATTCCACCCACTTTGTGACGAATTCTTGCTCATTTCCCCCTAAATTTGGCTTCCTGCTGCCACAACCACCACTAGCTGTCAAATCCAGGTCTAAATCTTCGTAATACTGCACGCTTCCTTCGTCTCTGACTTCTTTAAGCTTACTCTCGTGTGGGAAAAGGTTTTGGTAGAATAAATCGCCAGCACTAGATAACTGTACCACAACAAGAGATGTTTTGGCAGAGTTAGGAATACAGGAGAGACCAAGGAGAGGTTGGCTCAGCCTTTCAGTCAGTTTGGGATAGCTTTGAGCTTTGTTGGGATACTCTACCATCTCTGGCCATTCACTGTATGATGATATCTAGAGAAGGAAGAATAAAAGCATAATATGTCTGGAAACTAAACAGAAGTCATTGTTGCTTGTGATGTTACTCTGAGTGCATATCCACACCAGACAAGCTTGAAAAATATGCCTGGGCAGCCTGGCCACGGTGGGAATCGAACTGGCCACCATGGCCAGGCATATTTTTCAAGCTTGCCCAGTGTGGATATGCACTCAGAGTAACATCACAAGTACATACTGAGTACATCACAAGTACATACTGAGTACATACTGAGTACATCACAAGTACATACTGAGTACATCACAAGTACATACTGAGTACATACTGAGTACATCACAAGTACATACTGAGTACACTACACCAACACAGAAAAAAAAGAAGTCATTGTGTTATGTTTCTGTCTGAGTTTATGTTAATTTGTTGATGGTCACGGTGATTGAGCTCACTGTATTTTCGTATAATTACGTAATCGTCCAATAGGAATAGCTGAGATGAAACGTGCAACCACGATGAATAATATTTAATGAAGTTGAGCACCACAATCCTAACAGAATATAATTGAATTAATACTACACCTTCCATGGATTTGAGGTTGATCTAGGAGGTAGAATGCTTGTCAAGTCATCCATCATTCCCAATGGATAACTCCAATTCTCACCGTAGCAATATTGGAAGCAATGAACATCACGACTTTCATAACTTCCTACAAACACCAACACATCTGCACTTGTAGGATCTGGTAGTACATTGATGTACTTCACAGGATACTCCAGAGAGTGGCACCACTTCAGCACAGGGTGTTGTTGGAAGCGTGTGTCCATGATTGCAAGAGATTGAGTGGTGGCCAGAATGTAGTGGTAAGGGTTGTCATGGTAACGTTGGATGGTGGTAAACTTGTCGTCAGGAAAGAAATGTGATGATGGTAAAGTCATGAGATCTTGACTGGTTGATGAGCCACCCTAAAAAATATGTATTACACTTGGATCAATATAGGTGGGTACAGCTCGCTGGCTATGGTCAACCTGCAGTTATCAGAGTGAGAGAATAATATCAATTCTAATAGTCTTGTTGGCAATGAATAGAAAAGAGAGAAATAGTTAATTTTCATGAACGTTTCTGAGGTTGACCACCATCTGTTGCCATGGCAACTTATTTGAGAATAAATATCATACTCGTAGGTCAATAAGTTCCACGTTAGTCTGATTCCCTCGTACAACTTGTCTGGGATGAGAGCCAAACTCGCTGGAATACCAATCAAATTCTTCACGAGAACATGATGAAGATTGTCGGATGACTTGAACCGAACTGTCTTCTGCATTCCACAGCCACAAACTTCCTGTCTCCATAGCAACAATAACCTCTTCAGGAATGTATGGGCTTACAGTAACAGCACATGGTTTAGATTTACATTGTAGGTTTCCAAGAAATATTGGTTTCTAAAGAAAGGTTAACCAAAGTTCCCATTAATGCATCTAGATAGAATGACTATCAGTCCTACCAGCAGCAGTCACAAGGAGGAGGGGAGGGGGGGGGGGCAGAGGGAGACAAACCCCACCCCATCCCAAAATACAAAAACACTTCAATACCTCCAAACCTTCGCTGGATTGATTTCCAAAAAACCAGCATCTGTGATCAGTTCTAACAGCAATTATACCACCTTGTTCAATCTCATTTCCCATGCTGATTTCACAGATCTTCTCTGGCAAACTAAAACTGCCTGTTCTTGATGACAACCTGACAGAGGAACCCCTTTCCTCTTCATCATCAATTTCTAAACGACTAAAACACAGTTCACTCATAGTAGGTCCTCCAGGGCAGACCAACACTATGTCTGATTCTGTTGCTGATGTTGACCTAGCATATGCCAGACAGTTACCATAGTATTTCCCAGTTACCATCACTTTCTCTTCTCCCTTGGAATCTTGGACTAGGTCTGTCAGAAGGCCTGATGGTATGTCACAAAAGTCTGTTTCCAATCTTTTTAAGAATGGATCAAATTTTGTTAAATTCCGCAAAGTCGTTGGTGGTGGGCACCATGATAATGCCGCAGCCTCGGTACCGATCACATCAGCAAGCCCTCCAAATACAACCACACCATGATCTGTGGTTAAGTTTGTCACAGACTCTTCCCAATCCAATCCCTTACTGTGTGTTTGTTGCTCTGTATCAAAAGCATGGTTCAGCTCAGTACCAGAAATTTTACCCGGGAGATTCAACGGTAGTGTTGGTTTATCAGAAATGAGTCTGACCTTTATATTTTCATTCATTTCTTTCTTCTGTGGTATACATTCAACCTTTGGCCCATTTTTATACACATGTACCAGCCCTGTCCGACCATAATCCACAAAAAACTGCCTTAAATCTTCAGAGGACGTGTATGGAAAATTAAACGATGGGAATTTAAGATTAGACATACTTTAATCATAATATATAAAGCAATTCATGCTTTGTTAAATATTAGCGATGCAAACACCACTCCTCTGAATCCGCCATGTTTGGTTAATTAGTATGCAAAACTGGAAGCTCTATTCATCCAGTTCAATATATTAAACTTTTTAAACTTTTAAATTTTAAAATACAACAATGTTTTAAATATTTTACTTTTTATACTTACGTCTAGTATAAGTCCGCACCTTGGGTTTCGAAGATATTTTTTGTTTTTGTTTTATAGTTTATTTTTAAAAGCTAAAATTGTCGCTGAATAAGTTTGAGTTCAGTGTCAAAAATGACTGGTTCTCAGTCTCTTGCGCAAAAAAGCGCGGAAATTCGCTTGTGGAACGTTTTAACAGAAGATCCATAGAGTTTTAGCTTGGAAAATACGGATTTATTTGCTGTCTTTAGTGGCTTTTTGGAGTCTCTCTATTTTGTTATTGAGGAAAAATAAAAGGCTTTCACCATGGCGGTAAGTGTGATTTATAAAGTTTGCGGTAAGTGTGATTTATAAAGTTTATTTCTGATATGAAACATGACATAATTGTTATGCTACAAACACGTGGTACTGTGTGTTACTGTGCTGAAGATTATTAAGCTGTCTATAAAGCAATCATCTTGTTGATTTGCTCAGTTTAGGGCAGAAAGCAAATGTTTCCAGCTGCCATGAGTAGAAACACTTGTTTTTTTAGCTGCCAGAATGGGATTTTTGTTACTCCTTTGTTATCTCTATTTTGACTTGAAAATCTGACACATTTCATGCAAAAGATCGTTCCAGAAAAGATCCACACTCTCCCTACACAGGAACTTTTTGCCGTCCAGAGGGAGAATGTTAAAAATAAACTTCCAGGAATACTAAAATCTGCTTGGACGTCCAAAAAGGGGGATGGAGGTCAACTTCCAATCTCCTCCGTGGGGGAGGTGTGAATGTTTTCTGGAATGCCCCAGTCCTGACTTTTGGTAAATACTTCCCAGAGCACCTTTGCTTAGTACACCAGAATTGTCTGTTTTTTAAGCTAACAAGTATCTATAGTAAAATCTTGTTATTTTATTGTTCCTCTAGACTATGCCCTTGAACCCAAAGCCATTTTTAAATGGTCTAACAGGGAAACCTGTTATGGTCAAATTGAAATGGGGAATGGAGTATAAAGGATATCTAGTCTCAGTTGATGGATACATGAACTTACAGGTAATGGCATCCACGGCATTTGATGTCAACATTTCATATGAAGAAGAAACCTTTAGGAAACAGTTTATAGAAATGATAGATGGTGTACCACTGCAGAATTAATCATATTTCAATATTTTTTCTTAGCTAGCAAATACTGAAGAATTTATTGATGGTGCTTTGACTGGGAATTTGGGTGAAGTTTTAATAAGGTAAAAATATTTTGGGGGCAACAATTTTTCATTTTCCGCAGTTGTGTTTTATTTAGTGGCCAATTAATACAGTTGAGGCGTGTTGTTTAACTTTGTTGCTGCTCTTGGAAGATGGCCACAATAGGGCCATTTATACGGAACAAAATAAGACGTGACTTACATAAGACGCGACTTAGATAAGACGCGAGTTTGTCGTATAAAAGGTACAAAATTCTTATGTAAGACGCGTCTTGGATAAGACGCGTCTTTCATAAGAACAGGCCTTTTAGCTGTTCTTATCTAAGTCTCGTCTTAAATAAGAAATTTTGGACAAAAAGTCTAACTACACATGCCAGAAACTTGAAACAACGTAAAATTATTAGCCTTGCTTATTAAAACAAAAACAAACAAAACAACATTATAGCTATAGCAAATAAATAAGACCAAAGCCGTAGAGAACCATTTATGCGATAACTCCGCTTATTTAAGTCGCGTCTTATGTAAGTCGCGACTTATTTTGTCCCGTATAAATGGCCCTATTGTGTTGAAATCCCAATAATTTAATCTTAGTGCTTTCTCTTCTTCTGACAGATGTAATAATGTGCTGTACGTGCGAGGTATAGAGGAAGAAGAGGAGGATGGAGAAATGAAAGATTGACCATGTATCCTCATTGTTCACAATAACTTTATTTTATTACTAATTGTTTGAGAGCAAACGTTAACGTTCGCCTCAAACATATGTTAAGAGCTACTGTACTGCTGAAAATCGTATCATCAAAGAATGTATCACAGATGGAATAGACCATTTCCAAAAAAACTGTTGACTGTAGATTTTTAGGACTTTTATTTTGATTTGTTTTCAGGACCTTTGAAAATCAAAAAACCTTCCTGAAAATAAATATTAATTATATAGATAGGTTAAACTGACACTAGGACATAATTTGGAAAAGGTCTATTAAATTTTGACAGTAATCTCTGGAATAAACAGAGCTTGCTAACATGGATGGCTTTGATAACTTTGATAAAGTCCCGATAGATTTGATAACTTTCATTGCATTGCAACATTCAAAATATTATGTTGTCATTTTATGACAAAGCTGTTAATTAATGTTCATTTTCCATGCATAGCTAGAATCTAACTACACAAAAGCTTTGCTTTTGGGCCAATTGCTTTGACAAGTCATTTAATACACTTTCTACCTTACTAACATAAATAATTTTGTTTGTTAAATAAAAAATCTTTTCTGACCATAGGTTATTTTTCTGATTGTGTTCTTTATTGGTATTTATTTACATACATTTATACAAGAATATTTCATAAGAAAAAGTTATCAAATATTTTTTTATGAAAAGAAATATTGCAGTTCTTCCTCTTCTTTTGATTGTTTATTTTCAAGATCTTTCTCTTTCTTTCTTGTTTGCGGAGGTTCAGAGCGGAACATTAGTTTACGACCAGTCTGAATGGTGGATAGAAAATTTACAGTTAGTTTGGTGGTGGAGGTAGTTTGATGATGATGATGGTGGTGATGATGATGATGATGATGATGATGATGATGGTGATGATGATCATGATGATGATGGTGGTGATGATGATCATGATGGTGATGATGATGGTGATGATGATCATGATGATGATGGTGGTGATGATCATGATGGTGATAATGGTGGTCGTATCATAAAGATGGTAGTGCAAGTATTTATGTGAATAATGATGGTGATACTGCTGGTGACATTATCAATGTTGATACAGTCAGAATTGACAGTAATACTTATGATGGTGATGGTAATGTGACAATTGCAGTACACACTAATCTATCTGAAATGGTGAACCATCTTACCTTTTTCTTGGGATCAGCCCTGGCTCGTTCCAAAGCTCGTTTAACTCTCTCTTCTTGATGCAATCTCTGCGCTTCTAGTTTCTCTTCTCGTAGTCTCAGCCGACGTTCTTTCTCTTTTGCCTAACAACAAGATATTGGAAGAAGTTGTGGCGAAGATAAACCAACATACTTTCACCGTGATTTTCTCATATCTACAGTACCTTTTCCGCCATTTCGACTTTCTCCGGAGGCATCATTTCAATTTGTTCAAACAGTTCTTCAAGACGATTTTCAATATTCGTCAACATTTGCAAAGTACTGAGAGGAAAGAAAAGAAATGAAACTAAGCATGTTTTGAAATGATAAACAAACATAATACACAACCCTAAAGATTATTGAGAAGGGAGTTCAGTGACGTGGTTGTTAAAGTAAACACTGTCATAGTTTCTTCTCTTAGATCTATTTCAACGTAGAGATGAACTTTGCTCCACCCTTTTCGACAAAATTGTCGTGCAACAAGAAGAACAACTATACAAGTATGTACAGCCAAATACTAGAGAAGATAAAGTGAACCTCCGAAGTAAGCATCCCTTCGTCATCCCACGTTGCAAAACGAACAGATTTAAAAATACATTTGTGAACGCAAGTGCTTTAAACTACAACAAGATTCATTCCTTGTAAATAACTGTATATAACTAAGAATTTTTAGATGTAAATTTATACTACAAATTAATTATTGCTGTAAACCTTTGACTTTGTAATTCAGCTTTTGCTGCAAATAAGGCTTCTAAATAAACCAATCTATCTATCTAGATTACATGTTCAATTCTCGTTCCACACTCAAGACATTCATGTAAAAGTAGTCAAGAAATTTTAACAGGCAGGGTACAGTAAAAATTCTCACCTAATATTTGCTTCATTATCACCGATTGTATTTCTATAAACTTCCTCCACTTTCTTATTCAAAGCTTTCAACATTTGTTCCTGGTCTTCAGCTTTGAATTCACCATACGAAAACATTCTAGATAGATATAGAGGAATTGTTAAATCTTTCAGCAAGTATTTTGACTCCAATTGGAGGTCATTTACCATTATTGCGATTCAAACCTACAAGGAAGTGAAGGAACATATCTTACTTTGATTTCATCTCCAAGTCTGCAGATTTTTCTTGTTCTCGGTATATGGCATTTTTTAGTAAAGATATTTGTTGTTTAAGGACTTCTGTCTCTTTGTCCCTAAAAAAGAGTGTACTCTTGTATTTGTTGGTTCGTAACCCGTCAATCGTGGGCGTCAAAATGAAACTTAATTCCGTGTAGGAAGTCTCCCTGGGGCTAAAGAATTCTTACATTTTTGTCTTCGTCTGTTCTATTGTTTGTTTCAGTTCCTCTAAAGCTTCTTCAGTTTCTTGACTGTTTTGAATCAGAGATAAATTCTGTTCCTCTAACTCTGTGAATATATCGAGCAGTTGCTGTGGGTCCGTGAAATATAATTCTGGCTCCTAGAAATAGAAAATATGAGAGGAATGAAGATTCCCAGCTTAAACAGAGTGTGTGCCAGTTTCCTCAAACATTTCTTACAAATCCTTCAAAACTTAGAATTTACCCATGCAAAATTCCTACTGTGATCACAGAAACTTTAAACCATCCTTTATAACACTCAGTAAGTTTCCTCAAACATTTCTTTCAAATCCTTCAAAACTTAGAATTTACCAATGCAAAATTCCTACTGTGATCACAGAAACTTTTATAGTGTGAACTAGCCTTAATTTGGAAGCTTTTGGATGTTGGTTGTCAGATGTCAGTTTTAATGATATTTTGTAAGATTTTGTCACTTCCAAAATTGCTTTCATCGTCTGTCAGCTATCGGTTAAGATTATTTATCATTCAAAAATACGGGCAAGTGAAGATTACTATTCGTCATGCAAAATTTATAAACAAACTTCAACACATTCCAGTTCACTTTATACAGATCAACAAACTTAAAGTGACTCACCTCATCACTACTTTCATCTTCTGACTCGTGATGTGACGATGACGTCACAGACCTATCACTGGCACTCTCTACTCTTGTATTTGTGTGTGATCTGTGAGTTATGGCCGAACTACTTGGCTTGATCTACAAAATATAAATTAATGTTTGGGAAAAATTTGATTATAGGTAGATACTCCAAGATATCGGTGTAGTGTAATCAACTTCATCAGGTTTGATAGGGAATCAACTACCTGAAAAATACAACTGCACTCGCTCATTTAAATGATGCCCCCTCCCAGATATAAAGAGAAATTCTTCCAACCTGTACTTTACTGTCTTTTCTGCTTTGTCGACTATGCTTTCTCTCAGCCAGTCCACCAGGAGAAACTAAATGAAGCCAAGTATTGGTTAATGGTTTTCACTATCAAAGATTTCTCTGATCACAGTAGGAATTTTGCATTGGTAAATTCTAAGTTTTGAAGGATTTGTAAGAAATGTTTGAGGAAACTTACTGAGTGTAAACCAGTCTTAACATCAAACATGTTTTCGCTGGTTACTTTGGCTTAAGTAAATGAATACAATCCTTGTGATATTGCTCATAGTCCACAAACCTTTTTCCAAATAATTTCCTGGCCTGGCGTGAGCCTCAGCAGCTTTCTGTCGTTGCTGGAAACAGGAAATGAATGTTAGAAGAGAGTTGCAACGAATCTTGGATGAACGTTGTGAAATGTAGATTTTTTTAATGGTATTAGGGTGACCTTGATTGGATGTTGTCGGTTATTCTTCTGGGCTAATTACTTTCTAATTACCAATTATTTCCCTTCTAATTACCAATTATTTCCCTTCTAATTACCAATTATTTTCCTTTAATACTCATTACCTTCTCTAGTCTTCGGAGTCTTGCCTTTTTTTTAAATTCCTATTAATAATAAAAAGTAAATTCAACTGATTTAGTGATTACGGTATTTTACTAAGAATAAAGAAAGTTAGTTGAGAAAAAGGGAAGATCCTAATATCCAAACATAAAATTTGCATGTGCATCAACAAACAAACAAACAAATAAAATATTATTTGCTAGACAACTGAACAACAAAAGTGAAATATAAATGTACACACCGGTGGAGTGAGTATGTCCAGGAATTGTTTATATAACATGTAGTCTTTCAGCGTGTCTTCGTTCTTGGATATTTCACTTTTAATTGCCATCATTTGAGCATTGATTTTCTTGATATCAGACACTTTTTCCAACTTTATCTTTGTTTCGTTTTCCGCTCTATATAATAAAGTGAAATGACATTTTAAATCATTAAGGGTTCATACGGGCTTTTTTCACAAAAACTCCAGCGAAATCTTGGAATTGTAAGATATACGATAACTTCTTGACATCGGTGGGGATTATTAGAGTGGTTCACATTTGGCTTCCACGTATTCACATCTGATTGGTTAATCGGATATATCAAACGATGAAACGCATCTGATTGGTTAATCGGATGTATCAAACGATTGAACGCATCTGATTGGTTAATCGGATATATGAAACGCATTTGATTGGTTAATAGTCCATTAACGGTATAGTCGAAGTCAAATTTGAACCTCTTTATTATGATTCACGTACATTTTGATAGCATCGACAGAATTCTTATCGTTTTCTTTTAAAAATTCATCAAACATTTGAGCGTCTTCCTCAAGGTACTGCTCTGCTAGTTCTAGTTTCTTCTCTTCCGCTTGTGCGATCTCTTCCAACTTTCTCATTTCATCTCGTTTAACACCTAACGAATACTGCAACGAAATGATAGAGACATTATTTTACGGGAAAAGATGTCATTTGATCAGAAGTTCCTAGAAATGTCCAGGAAATATTCGTACCTGAACTAGAAACATTTCTCTCTTTTTTGCAATGAAATCTGAGAGATTTTCTTTCTCAACATTACGATCTGAAATAAAAATGATGCGAGTCAGAGGAATTTGGAAATATACACACGCTGTCCTCGAATTCAAGCAGAGGTTTTTGGCATTTCAAGCCCATCTTCAGTGAGTTGGTAGAAATAAAAATTGAAACTTTAACAAAAGTTCAAAGTTTTCATGTCACGCAATCACGAAACCTAATCCAAACCCTATAAACCTCCTAACCAATCATATTTCGTGACTGCGTGACATGAAAATGTAACCCCCAAAGGTTGGTTAAAAACACTACCTCTAGTGATAGCAAGTGTGAATTGTGGATCATCTTTAACAACCCCATCTTCATCCTTGGTATCTATATCATCCTCCTCATCGTCTACGTCATCCACAATCTTCCTCATTTCCGCAGTCTTGGCGTTGACACGTGATGCATAGGTAGTCTTCTCGTGTACTTTCAGTTTGTGCTGCTCTTTACGTTGCTAGAGTGTGGACACAGAAAGAAAGAAATATAGAACTAGGATATTATCGTTTGTACAGGTCTGGAACCGTATGCAAATTATTCCTGTTCCATTTGTAGACGCGGGAATTTTAAATACAAGCGCTTTTTTCGCGCCGAGACCGAGTGGAAGCCTGGGGCGAGGTTTAAAAATGCTGTAATTTCTAGATCTTGTTCTTTTTTTTGCAAATTTTCATGAAATTTGAAACGTTTTGAAGCGAGAAAATATTGTATTTAAAAGAATTAAACGAAGTCATAGTGTTCTGCTGTTAGAAGTTCAAGTTTTTTGTAAGAAAAAAGGAGGACAAGACGTGTGTAGTGTAAGTATTTACTGTATTTAAAAGGTTTTCCAAATTTTTTATTCAAATGTCATTATTAAAAGTTTTACCTGTAGTTTTGCGTCTCTTTCTCGTTCACGAAGCGTGAAAATATCATTATCCAATGGAACTTTGAATGGGTTATTCTTAGGATTGTACATGTCTGCAAAGAAATAATATTGAAGAATGAAGCCAGGTAGCTGTTTTAAATGAAAAAGAGTTCATAAAACTTTTTACTGTAGTTGATTCTTTGTTTTAACTGACTTCACGTAGGGCTGATGGAAACTTCAAGCTTCAATTCTTGCGAAGTATTAAATGCTTACTTATATTATCTGTATATAGCCTAGACTATTTATCTTTACAACAATTGTGATATTACTTTCCTAACTATGTTTATCCTATTAAAGACATTGAACCCCAAACTGCAGAGTTGGTCAACGTCGCACCCCATATTTTTTAAGCAGAAATTTCAGCACACCTGGGATGTACTTTATAACAATTTTTGCAATTTAATCTTGATGCGCACTTGGGACTGTTTTGCGCACCTGCACTTTGATTTCCTAACATTTGCATACCCGAGATCTTGTTGAAAAGTGCCCAGCTTTGCAGTCTGGTCCTAACCTAACCTGACAACTTTCTTTTCTGGCAATATTTTACCTGGTTTTGTATTTGGTTGGAATGTAACATGTGCTGTGTCTGTTGAGATGGGTCCTAGACAAAAGTCACAATTCAATGTATTCAGGTCATGCAGTACGTATGACATACATTTGTATTATCAAAAATAATCTGCCATTCTGGGTGGCAAAAATCTTTTCTTCAACTGTCTACCACACAGCTGTGAACCGTCATGCATAACTCTTCCAAATGCTCAAACAAAAGCAACAGCCGCAGTCACCACAGTGTTTGCTTTTAATGAACTATTTTAAATTTGCCACTCAAAATGGCAACAAATACGTGTTGTGTCGTCACTTGCACAAGCCCACAACAGTAAAATAATATTTTACAAAAAATTTTAAACTTCATGAGTTTCTTACGTGATCCCATTCTGTTCCTGGATGAATGATGAGAATTGGCATTTCTTGACAATGCTGTTGACCGTGACACAGCCGACATTTTCCTCTTGGGTCAGACCGTTAACCTTAATTCCTGAAAATATTAAGTCTTTACCTTTGTGACTGGAGTATGATTTCTACAATATGCAGTAGTCTGATTATATTTTCAGCTCCTTCACATGTGACAAGAATGCTCTACTAAGTTCTTTGTATGTTTGCATGGCAATAAAATATAATTGTTTTTGTTTATGTGGTGTTTCCACAAACAAAAACAATTAATACTCTACTAGTTCAATTAAGTTCCTTGTAATTCTGCATAACAAATAGTAATATCAATTTTGGTTCGTGGAAATACAATGTAAATGTATTATTTGCAGAGTTTTCCATCCATAAGCCAGGATCTTGAAGATCCTGGTTCTTCAGCGCAGATTGAAAGCTTTGCAAATAATAAGACATAATAACCACTGAATTCATAGCCTGTGCACATCCTGTATTACCCTGTATAATACAGGCTGTGCACAGGCTACTGAATTCACATCACAGGGTTTTTCCGCAAACTTTCCTTCTGCTGCAGTAACACTAGAATCATTAGGAGATAGGACTTTCTAGGGAAGAGAGCTATCTAATATAGTTTAATTCAACACCTGAATGAATATCTTTTGGTGGAGTGAATAGCAGAATAGCCTGAATAGGCTATTAGCAATGCAGGGTGAGGGTGCCTTACTAAGCCATTCTCGAGTTGCTGACCGATTACACTTGGCACCTAAAATATCTGCATGTACAAGGCTTTGCAGATTGGCATCAATTTGATAAGTATTGGGTGCCACAAATATGTATGCACAACATGATGAACATGAAACTATGAATCTATGATCGTTTTAATATAGAAAAAAACATGCGTTTAAAACCGATCCTAGCTCTAAATTCAACTAATAAGCAGCCAAAGAAGGTATATAATTTCGTAATAAAAATATCATAGGCTTACCACTGTTTTTGTATTGTTTTATTCCCTAAAAAATCAAATTTTTGCGTCTTTGTTGATATTCTTATTTTCCAATATGGCGATTGTTACTCGTTGCTATGCCAACAACTTCATTACACGCGTGGAGCCCACGCGCTTGCGTGAAATCGTCGCGGTTATGCAAATCAGTCAAAAAATATTGTTTTTGCTATTTTCCGGCGCTATTTTTTAAAATTATTGATTGTTCTGGGTTGAAGGTTTGGTATGTTTTCTTTCCAACGTATATTTCTGTTCGAGCAAGCGAGAACCAGGGTTTCACAAGCGTTTTATAGTTTATACTGCAGTTTTTGATGGCTGAATTAGTGCATCAAGTTGAATGTTTTTTATCTTTTGACTCTTCTCTGATTTCAACTTATGTCGCTTGTTTTAAAACGTGCAAATATCTAACCCTATGTAATTGTCTCTGATGCTTCCCTCGTTGCAGCTCAAACTATCGTTACACCTTTTTGAAAATTTTCAATTACATCGTTTAATGACGTTCTAATTATTAATCAATTACAAACAATGAACGCAAACATAACTTCTCGAATTTTGTTTAAAAAATGTTTAAAAAGTTATGGTTAGGATCAAGTATTTCCTTCAATATTGTAAGATCGGACTGCTAGTATTGTTTGCATTGAACAAAGCTGATATCTGTCAGGATAATAAACCATGTCAGGATCGCGGAGGATGTTTTATTATTGAAGAGACTGAGCTAAGTTTTCTGTCAACCTATTGTGTCTGTGTCAGAGGCTATAGTGGAAGATGGTGCCAGTTTCAAGGTAAAACTTTAATCTAGATCATATCTGTACTACACCGCAATACAGTGGTGGATCCAGCAAAGTTTTTTTGGGGGGTGCTAACCAATGGCGAAACGAGCACCGAAGGCGCGAGTTTTCTAGGGTGGTCCGGGAGCGTACTCTCCCGGAAAATTTTTAAAATTTGGGTCTCTGAAATGGCATTTCCAGCATTCTGAGAAAACATTCTGGAAAATTTTTAGATTCTCAAAACATTTAAAAATTCAGAATATTTAATATTGGCTATTCCGCTATTGTCAACTTGTGATATGCAACTGAATTCCTTAACATAAGTTGGTTAGAATTAGGATAAACGTCATTTTTGCACCCCTATGCACCCCTGTTGACCAGAGTCTGGGGAGGGTGCGCACCCCCCCCCCCCCTAAAAAGTAAGACACAATGTATAACTTAAATGATATACAATATTTTATAATAAACCCAAATTAGTTCAGCACCATTGGTTCTTATAACACTGTTCATTCCAATACTGCTAGAACATCAGCAATTAACAAAAGTTGGAGTTTCATCCGATGACATGTATGCTTCTAAGGGAGTGGTCATTATTTATGGGGAGGGGGGGTTGGGAAATGGGGAAAATAAGGATTGAAAACTTTTTTGACCCCCCCTCCAGACTGAAGGCAAACTTTTTGTGCCTCCCCCTTCATAAAAGTAGAAACTTTTCTGACCCTCCCCCCCGTGTGGATTGAAAAATTAACAGCAATGAAACAGGTGTGCGTTGCAGGTAAAGTTAGATATTAGGACACTCTGTTTAATCTAGCTCATGATGTTTTACCCTGGTGAATATGATTCAACCATATATGATTAAAAAATATATATTATGTGTTACTACTTTGCAATGCAACATTTGTCCTATCATAACCCTAACCCATGACCCGTCTTCATACAGCGAAATGATTTGAACACAGGTTTTTTAAGAAGTTGTCTGGGGGGGGGGGGGCATCTACAAAAAGGGACCATACTATATTGAGTGTGGAGAGATGACAGATGGTTGTTGGTGACAAAAAGTTTGGTGTGGTATCGTATGTAGTAGTAAGGGGGTCTGGGGGTATTCTCCCCCAGAAATTTTTTTTTATTTTTCCACCCCTAGAATTGAAATGTGAGCATTTTCCTCTGAGCATTTTCTGAAACAGATTTTTGGATATACAGGGTTACATTGTGCGTTGATAGACCGAGTCTGATCAGTTAAGTGTACTTGCATTGTATGTTTATGTAAATACCACAACTGGGTCACTCAGGTGGTAGAAAGCTTGTTAAACTTAGTGGGCTCAACGGTCCCTCGGCGCCACCATGGTTGGCGCCGAGCAGGGAAATTTTGAACATTTTGAGTCTCTAGATCGTTGGAAATAGCATTTTCAGAGTCTTCTTTTTTGTTATTTGTGATTATAGAAATCAAAAACTTTTATGACCCCCCCTTTCTCTGTGTTAAAACTTTTTGACCCCCCCTTATTTATAAGGGTAAAACTTCGTTTCCCACCCCCACCCCCTCTCATTTCCCAACCCCCCCTCCCCATAAATAATGACCACTCCCTAACCATGCTGTCCATGCAGCTATCTGACAGTTTTTAATTTTCAATATTGATTCCCAAAGCCATTATTCTCAAGATTTGCCAAATAAGTACAGAATTATATTACATCACTCATCACTGTTCACTTTACATTCTTCAAGTAGATGCATGTTTTACAGTACAGTATATCTTGTGTATTTATAATTTATAAATCTTGAAATATCTTGTTCAAAACACTCAAATCCAAGATAATCGGCAGCCAGCCATGTTACCAGTAAGATTTCTACTCTGTTGATTTTGAAATGACCAAGTTTGTACTCGAATATAAATATTTATACTTTAATTATTCAATAGCCCTGTATATCGCTGACAAGGTATGCTGTTGTCGCGATGTAAGATGTTCTTTTGCTCGCCAAACGGCTTATTTTACGCATAATTGTATCTCTAAATTGATCATTCCTGACTTTAAATTGCAAAAGCCACGCGAGAAGCAGTTTAAGACGTCTTTACAAGTCCAAATATATCATAAATTGCAACAAATAATCCATTCTCACTGCTTGCGTAAAAATATGCCCAGTCAGCGTTTTTAGCTGGAGCTACTGTTTACTTCCGCTTCCGGGAGCACCAATGTTCTATGGTGTTCCGGTTTGGATTATCCCAGGGCTTCTGAGAGCAATAAGCGCAGAAGCCCTGGGTACGAGGTTGATGTGCGCTATAAATTTATAATATAACACGCTGAAGAATGGCAGATTGTTTTGACTTTGGACTTCAGAGGAAACCCACGCAATATTATACTGGCAAGCTTGCAATTGTTGTGTCCCAATCAGAACACTGCTCTCATTGGCTCCTGTCTGTGCGTTAGTGCTAAATTAAATTTTATTTTCGCCGTTGGAAATTTGATAACCTTGACAGACAAACGCGCGTAAATAATACGAGCTGAAAAAGCTAAAATTTACTCGAGAATTTATGCCAATATATGAACAGTTTTTATGCGGAGTAAAACGTATTGTTTAGTATAATAGCACACTACGTAAACATGTAACTTATTCTGGGTGCAAGGAGTATCGACGACTATGTTTTGGACTATGAATTTGCAGTCTGAATTCTGAAAGCGACACGCCAGCAGAAAGCGACACGCTGGCTAAAAGGCAGAGACTAAAGGTATGTTGTGTGCTTTATAATTTAGTACGTTTTGCTGTTTATATGCATCGCTCCATATTTGCATTTCGCCGCAAGTTTAGCTTTCGTTTTATTAAATTATAATAGCATCACGATGTGTCAGCTCACAGCTGCATTGTTTGGCGGATTAAATATTAATATATTAAACAAATTTTATCAGAGGAAAACCTGACAGAATTCTTTCGTACACTGTTAATTTCAAGGAGTTATTTTAACTCCACCATAGGAGTTAAAACTACTCAACTCGGGAGAGTAAAAATAGTGGAGTAAAATCTACTCCCAAAATAGAGTTAAAAGTAATCCACTTTGGCGCGCATTCCACAATTTACTCCATCAGGAGTCAATTTTACTCCGCTGGAGGAGTAAACTAAACTCCCGTTTAGGAGTAGAAATTATGGAGTAATTTTTACTCCTTAATTTTACTCCAGGGGTCGTTTTAACTCCCAAAAAAGAGTAAAATTGTTCTGGATCTGGAGTAAATTATTACAATATATAATTAATGTGCCTGAGAATCCAAGAGTTTTTCTGCTGGAGGCTATACTCTATTAAAGTATTGAATACAGTCAGATCACAGATGCGAAAAGCACGAAGTTCGAGATATAAAATCTTTTTTTTAATTTTACGTTTTTGGTTACTCGAATGTTGCCAAGTCAGATTGATACCATGCATTGATGTATTATACCGTATATCGGCTTCAATCGCACGCGGCGATCGAATGTAGCCAGAAATTGTCGGCGAGTCATCTATATTTTTTATTTGCAGGCCTAAATCTGTAATTTGAACGTGTGGAATGTTCTGCTGCTTAATTCTGCTGAAAAAAATTGCGACAAGTGGAAGTTCCAGAGTTTCAACCAATTAGCATGCTTAGAATATATCACGTGTTGTAGTAATTCGATCTGGTTCACACAAAGACCAAGCGCCAAGTTCAATCCTTTGAGAGCAAACATTCAAAGGGAAAGATATTTTGCTTGTGATGTTACTCTGAGTGTATATCCACACCGGGCAAGCTTGAAAAATATGCCTGACCACGGCTGGAATCGAACCTACGACCTTTGGAATGCTAGTCCAATGCTCTGCCAACTGAGCTACGTGGTCTGGTCGGTTCGAGTATGTGATATTTCGGAACAGAATCTAGTTCCTTCGATATCAATGTAATCTAGTAATAATGACATTTTCTGTGTTGATGCAATGTACTCAGGTGAATAAGATGCTTGCTTAGGTTCGATTCCCACCGTGGTCAGGCATATTTTTCAAGCTTGCCCGGTGTGGATATACACTCAGAGTAACATCACAAGCATCTTATTCACCTGAGTACATTGCACCAACACAGAAAATATCATTATTACGGAAAGATATTTATTCAAATTTTCTACATATAAAGTTCCAAAGACCTAATAAGATATATGGAATTTGTTTTCAAAGGTATGTTTATTGTGTATTTACTTATTTGTGTGCGGAAAATTACTTGATATACTGTATAGTTATATTTTTAAATCGAAGACGAAGGCCTGTATTTTAGTCGCTTCGCCGCCGATTTGCCGATCTAGACGTTCAGTTTTAATTTTCGATTAATTTGTATTAGCAGAAGTCCATAAGTCTAATCTACAGTCTGTACTTATATGTGTTGTTAGCCCCGTTTACACGAGCAAATTTTATTTGACAAATTTCATTTCATCAAAAGCTAGCATGCTAGCTTTTGTTCAAATGCATTTGTCACAATAAATTTGTCCCAAATTTATCATCTACACGAGCAAAATATCTCTGACTTATGAAATTTGTCAAATAAAATTTGCTCGTGTAAACGGGGCTCTATTTGTGTGATATACATGTATGTATGGCAAGGTCTTGGCAAGACACTAATCTTGGCAAGATCTTGCCAAGATATTACCAATATCTTGCCAAGATTATTCAATCTTGCCATACTTGCCAAAATCTTGCCAAGATTGTCTGAAATTTTTGTCAAGATCTTGCCAAGATCTTTCATGATTTTTCGTCATACATAATTCTTGCTGAGTTGTATTTTTCGACCTTCATAAGTATAGGTATAATGAACCTTGATCAAACCAATCGCATATATCACAACATTGCCAATACTCTATCATGATCTTGCCATGATCTTGGAAGATCTTGTCAAGATCCCACCATGATCTTGCCACGATCCCATCATGGTCCTTGCCAAGATCTTATCACAATCTTGCCAAGATTCTGTCATAATCTTGCCATGATCTTGGACAACCTTGCCAAGATTCCACCATGATCTTGCCAAGATCTTGTCAAAATCTTGTCAATATCCTATCATGATCTTGCCATGATCTTGGAAGATCTTGTCAAGATCCCACGATGATCTTGCCAAGATCCCACCATGGTCCTTGCTAAGATCTTATCACAGTCTTGCCAAGATTCTATCATAATCTTGCCATGATCTTGCACAATCTTGACAAGATTCCACCATGATCTTACCAAGATCATATCAAAATCTTGTCAAGATCCTATTGTAATCTTGCCATGATCTTGGAGGATCTTGGCAAGACTCCACCATGATCTTAACAAGATCCTACCATGATCCTTTCTAAGATCTTATCACAATCTTGCCAAGATTCTATCATAATCTTGCCATGATCTTGGACAATCTTGCCAAGATTCCACCATGATCTTGCCAAGATCTTATCAAAAATCTTGCCAAGATCCTACCATAATGTTGCCATGGTCTTGAAAATCTTGACAAGATCTCACCATGATCTTGCCAAGATCTCAGCATGATCTTGCCAATATCTTACCAAAATCTTGCCAAGATCTTATTGTAATCTTGCCATGATCTTGGAGGATCTTTTCAAGATCCCATCATGATCCTTGCTAAGATCTTATCACAATCTTGCCAAGATTCTATTATAATATTGCCATGGTTTTGGAAGATCTTGTCAAGATCTCACCATGATCCCAGCATGATCTTGCCAAGATCTTATCTATCTTGATCTTGGAAGTTCTTGACACAATCTCTTGTCATGATTTTACTATGATCATACCAAAAATGCCACGATTTTGAAAGATCCTTGTGAAAGGAGGCTTTTACGCGCACAGTTGCTCTCGCACCTTTGCGTGCCAGATCCAAATGACTGAAATGAGATCAATTAATCAATATCTGTAAATCTTGTTATCTGCGCATTTTTCGCATATTTGTGGTAGACAACCGTTGGTAAAAGCCCCAAGGCGCGTTTTATAAGTCAAACATACAAGGTACTGTACACGGCAGTTTATACTTCTGTTCCTCGACTTTGTTGCTGCACTAAAGAAGAAAGGATAACTTGTCGAGCTGTCTTAAATAAAAAGTAAGTGCTTACAACCTATTTTGTAACACATTATTTGTATATTGAATGAATGAGCGCTAATTTGATTACCACATGTAATAAATGTTTCAAGCTTTTTCAAATAACCTTACAAAAGGCTAAGTTAATTGGGTAAAGCGATGCAATGCTTGCTGTAATTTCGACTTTAAGTAATTTTAATAACATCTCATCATTGGTCGCAATAAGCTTTTACGTGATAATGCCTAGTTTAACGTTTTGTTAAGAATGACAAAGCCGTTGAGAATACCCCTGGGACCACAAATTATTATATTCACACAGTCTTATATTTATTACACAGCTTTTGCGCAGCTTGCGCTACTGAAATGTCCTGATAACCGTAGTTTTGACAAATCCGGTGCCAAACATCGTAAATGCAGCGCATAGGAACACGCAATTTCACACTACGGTATAAATGTGAGCTTCATTAGTGAGTTAAGTTTCATTATGCCAACCAGTGAAGCTAGGATAAAATATAGAGATCTTTCATATAAAATTAATGGTTTGAGCTATGATTATTCAACATGTGTATTATTCAAAATTGGTTATTTCAAATATTATTTAGGAAAACATGGTGAAGGCATCCCCAAATGATAAAAGCTATGGCCAAAAAAGAAACTACAGAGATCGAGATTGTAAGTATGAGTGTATACATGTGTAATTTATCGTTTTTACTTAAAAAGAATTCAACTACAGTGATTTAATATCAAGTATTGTTAATTCATTTTAGTGCCACAATGACATTAATTTGATGACCGTAAATGCACCACCAAAAGAGCCATCAAAATGTGCAATCAAATTATTGGACTTCCTATTTTCATCGGAAGAGCTCCAGGATGGAATACTATTCCAGTCGAAAAGATCTCCAAAACCAGCACTAGATCCCAACAGGGTCACTAAATTGTTTGGTAAGAATAATATATGTGATTTGACTTCAAGAAAAATTAACTGGCCAGCTGTGAACAGATATATAAAATAATAAAGTAGGGTGCAATTTATGTGGCAGATATGACAGTTAACCCATGTTATATGGGCAGATATGACAGTTACCCATTAGCACCAGCTCTCTCCCCTTGATAAGTAAAATCATCTGGGATCAGACAGAGTTAAATAGTCTGGCATTAAATAAAGTAAAATAATAAAGTAGGGCATATCAGGGCATAATGTAACTCAATTTGTAATTTTCTGTGGTGAGTCGGCTAGATACTGTAATTCATTGTCAATTAATAATTTAACGTCAATTATTGATAATTTATTGGCATTAATTGTCAAATTGCCACAAGATAACAGAGATAAGTTTACATAAAACCCACCCACTTATAAGTTATAATGTCGATTCGATGTTGTTGTGGCAACATGAATGTGGACGTGGCCCTGAAACAGTTTCTTTATGCATAAAATTGTGAGCCTGGAAATTCTCAGAAACATATAAACAATAGTATGAGGGACTCAGACATGTATCCTCAATATATTCAGGGAATTTAGGAACATTCTACCTGGGTTGTCTGGATATTAAATAGAAATACAGCTATTTACTATGATAGTACAATATAGAATAGATAACACAAAGGAAGGATTGTTCTGCTCTTAAGCCCCATTTACATGAAACCAGGACGAAGTCAAACTGGAAGGAAAATTGAAATTGATATTTGTGGTGTTACTCTGAGTGTATATCCACACCGGGCGAGCTTGAAAAATATGCCCGGCCACGATGGGATTCGAACCTACGACCTTTGGAATACTAGCCCAATGCTCTTCCAACTGAGCTACGCGGTCAGGACGGTTCGAGTAAGTGATATTTCGGGACAGAATCTAGTTCCTTCGATACCAATGTATTCTAGTAATATGAATTTTTTCTGTGTTGGTGCAGTGTACTCAGGTGAATATGATATTTGTGGTACACCACAAATATCATATTCACCTGAGTACACTGCACCAACACAGAAAAAAAATTGAAATTGTCAACATGTTTACATGAGATCAGTACAAAAATCACAAAATTTTCAATTTATTCCCCTTGTTAGGCAATTTTCTTGTTCAGATGGCTTTTGTTAGCATATGTTGTTCCAATGTCAAGGTTACAGCCAAGACCGGTCTGAAATGTATTTGTGTTTACATTCATGCCGGTCTGAATTCATGCCAGTCTAAAGTCAATCGGCTTGATCCAGCCGGCAGAATGACTTGAGACTGGTCTGTCGAGTTATTTTCATCCCGGTCGCTTGTGAACATCTATTATAGATCATACTATGAGCAAAACAAAATGGTCCCGGTTTGACTTTGTTGTGGTCTCGTGTAAACAGGGCCTAATACAAAGCCATAGAACTTGCTTTGGAGATTATACTGGCCTCTGTAGCTCAGTTGGTTAGAGCGCTGCACCGGAATCGCAGGGCCGTAGGTTCAATTCCTACCAGAGGACCTTGTGCTGCATTTTTCACAGTCGTTCCTGGTTAGGTCTTAAAATGTATATATTCTCACTTGGATTACAAACCCTTACATTCTAAATTAATTTCACCAAGTGAAGTGCAAGAAACCATCATTGAAGTCCACCTTATCACAACCCGCACACCCGATTACCTATATATACATGAACTTACGGTTACAGCTTAACAGCTGGCCTCTGTAGCTCAGTTGGTTAGAGCGTTGCACCGGAATCGCAGGGCCGTACATGTAGGTTCAATTCCTACCAGAGGACCTTGTGCTGCATTTTTCGCAGTCGTTCCTGGTTAGGTCTTAAAATGTATATATTCTCACTTGGATTACACACCCTTACATTCTAAATAAATATTAATAGCCATTGAGTCAACATTGATATCCTCTCAATAGATCAATACATTAACAAATATAAATGTTTATATTGTTAACTTTAATGTATTGATCACTATTGAAAGGGTATCAATATTAACTCATTTAGCTAATATTTATCTAATCGCCAAAGCAAGTTCCATGGCTTTGTATGAGCGAACAATCCTTCCTTTGTGGACCCTTGTAAATATAATTGTATATTTCATACCTTCTTGTAGCCTGTATATATCATGATTTCGACAGTTCGACTTGCTTAGAACACATACTATGACAGTATTTATTGCTTGAAATTATAACCTGTCAATACAAAGCAATATCACTAAGTTTTAATGTATTTTAATAACAATATATTGTTGAACCAAATACAAAATATAATGCGGCCAACGGCAATGGCGGTTAAAATATACATGAATATATTACTATTTATGGCACATATTTACACACGAAACTTAAAAATATTGACATAGTTGAGCACTTACATTTACAATTATTGTCTGAATCTTCAAACAATGGAGAATTTCTTCTTATTTTCTACTATAATTTAAGAAATCTTGGCTTTACCAACCGACGTTAAGGTGGCTCCCTACAGTTATTCTTGTTTAAGCAATAATTCCGTAAAACAGGCTTATTCGTGCAGAACGCGAATTCTTTTCGACTTGGTGGCAATATTGGTCACCTAAGGAATATTTCGAACTAGATTTCGACAATGTCAATGTTCCCATGGCAACATGACGACAGCATAAAGCCTTCCAATTTAACCCATAAATGTACCGCTATCTCAAAAACGATGTCGGTGACCTATCTTTTTTATTTCATATATCAATAGGGAATGATGCTCTGCAACTGTGTTGAAAGTTTAAAAAAATTCTGTAGTGTGTGATTTTTTTAAAAGCGAAAAATTTATTGCGAAATTTCCACACTGCAGATTTTTTTAAAATTTGAAATTTATAAAATTTACCGCAAAATAAATTCGTGATCAAAATTTGAAGATAGGTCACCGATGAAACTAATGAGTAAAATGCAAATAAAGTTAGAAAATAGCCTCTTGTAACTCGAGAAATTCCCCTTATTGAAAAGCGTCGCTGACTAGTAAAAGATTGTACGCGGGCGCAGAACGAGTTGTCATTCAGCAAAATTGAGCGGCAATGTTGTTTTTACTGTTTTGTTTTTGTCAACTTTTCGATTTATTTGAATGCCATGGACAGCCAAGGATTATTGTGAAGGATTAAATCGATGAAAACAAGGTTGAAGTTAATTGAATCCTGCCGTTTACTCAATCTATGAGCTGTAACAGCCTATTAACAGGTGGACGTGTTTTTTTGTTTCATGTTTGGTTTTGTACTTTTTGCTAAAAATGAACAATTAGGCTATGAAACTGAAATATTTTTCTGTTTACATATAATCACTTTAATCTTGTAGAAACACGACTAAAAACGTGAACGTTTTCTTGAGAAGTAAACAACTTTTTAAACGTTTGTATGCAATTTTGCAAATGCTTTACAGTTGAGTCAGTTGACAGTGTATAAAAAAATTAAAAAATATTGTTTCGTACCTATTTTTATCTAGTGATATTCGTATCATATGTAGAATTGCTGTATAGACTCGCAAGTGATTTGGCACTCAAAACGAAGTATTATTCAACGCTTTTTTCCATTAGAAACCTTTCAGAAATAGCTTTATTTTTTAAAAAAGCATGGTCAATTTTTGTTTTGTTTTGATCATGCAGTTGCGTGGGATAGTTCACGTACTTGTCCCGCGAACATCCCGCACGGAACTGTAGGGAGCCTCCTTAAAGATCTCATGGATAGTGGTCAATTTGAATATGGAAATGTTATTCATAAGGAATGTATGTGGTTCTGTTTTAGTGATATTATACAGGAAGACCTTAACTACACAAGGGCCCTGTGGAACAACCACTACATTCGATCCTCAAGGCACAAAACTGTTCCAGGTCGGCCAGATGAGTTGTATTACTTACCAGAACGCCATGACAGTGAGGATCAGAAACAACCTGTGAATGCCGAGAAGCTTAATGAGGTTAGACAGCATGTGGCTGATCCGGTTAATCAGGATAATCAGGATGTCCAAGAGTATCTCAACTATGTTTGCACATCAGAAGGATTAGAAAAGCCCACTGATTGGAGAAGTGCTCTGAACTTATACACAATTTTAAAACAAATAGCTGAACAAGTGTAGATTTCAACAATTAATATAGTTTTTTATTGTTTGTATATTTTATCTTAAAAACACAACATTTTCAATGGTAGATTGCATTTATTTTCCGCACAGGGGGAGTTGAGGACAATGGAAAATCAATGGGAGGGGTGTAAAAAAGGCCTTGGAAAATGCAGGGGGAGGGGTGAAAAAGACCACAGAAATCCAGGGGGTGGGTTGATTAGAGACCAAAATCCAGGGCATGGTCTGCAATTAAAGTCATTTTTCAGGGGTATCTGCATAGATATCTTATATACACTAGATAGCGTATCTCTTTTAGTAAAATTGAAGCCAAGAATATTCCAGCGGTTACCCCCATTTGAATAGATGGCGGCCATGTTGGTGGTTCCCACTCGCTAATAAACGCTTAAAAACACCAATAATTTTCATCATTTGAATAATTTGAAAATGTATTTGGAATAGGTTTAAATTAACTTAATGTTTAAGTTCCCTGTTTAAGAAATAGAAAACATACGTCCGAATCTTCTAATTTCATGGGAATATCCTGAAACTGCAATCACGTCTTCAATTTTTGAATTGCAAAATAATTATATGCACTATCTAGTGTATATAAGATATATATGGGTATCTGGCAATGGATTTCTAGGAAATTCCAGGGAAGGGGGTATATACTGAATTCCAGGGGGTCACATTTAGCTGGGAAAAAGATGCAATCTGCCAATCTAATATTGAATAACTATCAATTTTGAACTAATCTTTTAACAAATGTCACTGTTCATATTAACTATAAAACAGTCAATTTTAACTTCAACAATAAAGATTAATGTAAATAACAATAAGATACTTGGCCAAGTTGCTTAGCTCTATCAACACAGCAGTATTTGTAATATATATGAACACTAAAACCATTTTCATTGTTTAAAATGGACATTTGAGACATATTTTAGTATTTCAAAAGCAGTGAATGGATTACAAAATATTGATTTTGGATTTGCTGAATAATTTTAAACAACTTGGCCTTTTACTCTTTTTTAAATGCCCCCTACATGTTGCAATAAGTTTATTCTAATCCAAATCTTAAGTTTGTCCAAATCCTTTGGAATTTAAGATGGCAAATGTCATATCATCTTTAAAAGAGGCATATGTGGTGTGTTTAATTGGTAAACTTAGCTCACAGGCACAAGTGTTGGCTTTGGGAAACTTACATCCCCTTTCCCCATGCAAGAACTTTACTGTTATTTCCAGACCAAGGGGAGGGAATTCTAAACATCCACTGATAAACATTAGTACATCTTTGAGCTCAAGTTGGCATTCACCCTCACTAGCATCCACTAAGAAGTCACCCCAGAAGCCCAATACTGCATTCTCTACTTGAAAAGAGTTAGAGCCCATTTCACTTCTATCATAACTTAATTTAGCTTCAAAACACTCAACAGTGAGCCTGTTTGGGGAGTAGCACATCAGTTGCCTGAACACACCTGGAAATTGTCTCATTTTATCTAATACTCCCAAAATGTCAAGGTCTTTCTGAAATTGCAGGATTGCACACTGACTTCTACTTACCAGGAACCATTTTATTAAGCTATTGGTTATGCTTAACTTATCTTCATAGGTTTTTACTGGTTTCCATGCCCCTGCAAGATCTACAACTGTTGACAGTCTTTCATTACTGTCAATAAATGTATTTACATTTTCTGGTGTAACATCATTGAGAGAGAGTATGACATCTTTTGTTGCATCATGCATATTTTCCATATCTGCAACTGTGGGTTTTACACCCTGAACCCCACCAACTAATGCTTGAAAAAGGAGGTTTGATAGGCAGTGAGGGACTGGACCTCCATGTACAAGTGAAAGTGCAATGAGCATACCTGTTAACCTATACTCTTCTTCCTCAAATGATTTTTGGTTTAAAGAAATATATCTTGAATTTTCATGACCAAAAAATAATGGGGACTCATATAATAAACTGTGTAATAACAAGGTAAAAAATTCACGCTTAGGGCCCCCCAAATCAACAGCCCCCTCTGATCAGCTTACATCATCCATAAACTTCACAGAGACTTTATGGCATGGATCAAATTTTTTACGGTTTAAGGCCCGTTTTGCACTGTCAAAAAGATGGGTACGGACAACATTAAACTTAGTAATATTACTGAAATCTACTTGCTGAGCTAATTCTGTTACCACTGCTTCAATTGTGGGAGTTTGAGCATCATCCTTGCCAGATGTAGACATTTCTACTGCATCATCAGAACATGTCTCTTCATTGGTGGACAGTTCCTCTAGTTGATCATCAACAGTGAAAAGTGCAGCATAAGTATTGTCCACATTCTCCATTTGCAATGCCAGGGCAATGGCAGCATCCGTCTCAATTTGCTCAGTCTGTTTTGGCTCTGTCTGCTCTAGCTCTGTGTCGGATGAAGTGCTAACTGACTAGAATCAACAACTTGAATAACTGGTTTCTGGGTCTTAACCGTTGATGGTTTGCGACGTTTCGGTTCTGTCTTCAATTTCTTGGATTGACTTCCTTCTGAATCACTCTCACCTTGACTCTCACACGAGGGTGAACTATAAATTGCTTTTTTCAAAGCAGTAAGTTTATAGTTGATCAAATCTGTTTTCAACGATAGGTAAAATGTAATGCGACTGTAGGGTTTCCCATACTCTTTCTTATACTTGTGAAGTACAAATGGTTCATCAGATTCTCGAAGCTTCTCGACATCTGTTGCATCGGAGTACAAAAGTTCATAGTCTCCAATAGATTTAATTTCCGCCATGTTGTGAGCTTTTAATTTACCGAAGGCCGCCATTCACAGTAACTTTCTCATCTAAACATTCAGCATTTCTATTCTTCTTCTCACGTCTAAAATATGTCGCTCGTTTCTCACCCTTCAGCTCCTTAAACTGTTTGTATCCTAACGTTTTATTACTGGATCGTTTCGTAATAGGAGTTGGAGTAAGCTTACTTGTTCCAGCGCCATCATTGCTTCTTTGGCTCTGTCCACAACGCGGGCAAAACTTGTATGAAGTTAGAAGTTCGGCAGAACATGACAAACAAGCAGCCATGTTTACGCTTATTTCATGCCGTCATGCGGTCGCGAAAAAGGCGGGAAATAATGAATTTAATGAGTATTGAGACCGTGATCGGTCAGCGGTTTCTTTGTGGTGTGAATCCGTGAAAGTGTGGCGTGAATCGTGAAATTGTGGCGTGAATCGTGAAATTGTGGTGTGAATCCGTGAAATTGTGGCGTGAATCACGGATTTGTTGGCGTGTTTCGTGTTATTGTGGGTGATTTCACTTTTTGTGCGTGAATGACCCTCATCGGCCACCGTACCTTAGAGTTGAAATGGTGTTTATTTTTAGTCGTCCGGGTGTCACAGTCTGGGTGGACGCGATATTTCGCTTTCAAAAGAAATCCGCCGGGCAGAACAAATATATGAATATACATCCTCCCCACCATCGCGCTAAGAACGGCCCTGACAGTCTGGCAATTACACAGGATAGTCGCTCATGATTCAACAAGAAATTCAACGATCCCACCCGATGCATGCAAAACGACCGTTATTTTTGGAGTGTCAATGTTTTCCAGTGTTTATGCATTGAAGGATAAACAACGAAATGTAATAAAATCTCTCAGAACTGGTGTGACTTTCCTAGAAATAAAGTTTAAAGCCAAACATGTGAGGTGAGACAAGAGGTTTGGAATGCTGTAAGAATATTAAATTGATAACCAAAGACGTTTATCCCGATTGGGAGGCGGGGATGTGTACTCAACCTTCAACAGATAAGTGTTGCTGAAGTTAAAGGTTCTTGCTCTTCATATAAGGGAAGGTGTGGTTCCATTACACAACAGACCGCACCTTTTGTCTCTGTTGTCCAGAGCCTGCGTGGATGCCTTAATAAAAGGCGTCTTGTTTCTTACAAATAACTTTGAGCTTGGTGCAAAAAACTTACGGGAACTCTTTTCACATATCGTAGGCCTTGTTAAACCACACGGTGCTTTTCTTATTTTTCCATCAAACACCCAACAACCACTGTCCTGGCTACTTGTAGCCTGCAAATGGAAAATCAAAGTTTGGTAGGCTAAACGTTACGCTACACAACTTCGTTCAATACTTATACTTTGGTTATCATCCTTTTTTGTGGACAGAACTCAATGAAAGATTAGATTTTCTACCTAATTAACGTTGTTTCACTGGGGGTTTTCATTTCCACGCACATTTCCATATATCGTGAAACCATGAGTATAATATATTTAAGAAAGAAATTAAAAATTATATATTATCGTATAATCTTTAAACTGAATGAAATTTACGTGGAAGAGACTTATACATACACCTCCAAAAGTTCAAAGAAACTTACCAACTAACTGCAAGTTCGCTTGCTAATCTCTAACTAAGAATTAATTCGATCTTTCTTCTTTGTACTGTTAATTACAGTTAAAATTAAGTGCATCCTTGTTTCTTAAGCCCGTTTTCCATGCACTAGGCGAAATTGCTCGTGCGCCGCGACAAGTAAAAAAGTAGGAACCGATCCAACTTTATCGATTTATAATCTATGCAATACCTCTGAAAAGATGTTAATCCAAATGCTCAAGATTGTTCCGTATGCCCAGTTTGTATACAATTTTTGCAACCGTACGTTGAAGGAAATCTCATTCGCATAAGATGCAAACATTTCGCCACCGATTTTCTATAAGTATACAAGAGTCGATATTGATGATCGATTTTGCCATCACATGACTTCATTGTGTATATGGAACATCGTCATTTTACGTTAATTATGTATCAGGAATCCCCAAATCGTGTGATTTTCAGCATCTTTCGCGCTAGAATTTTAAAATGGGCAATTTGATGGAAATCGCGAGTGGAAAAAGAAAATATCGCGTGGAAAAGGAAAACACCGCGTGATGGTGCGGTAAAATCGCACGATTTGCCGGATTCCTGCATGCATGATCCATGTATTACATATATACTATACGATAGGTATCTATTTAATTGGGTAAGTATACTCATGCAGTGGTCCAAATATCGCCTACCCTTGAAAGATAGCGCTGCAGTTGCTATATAAACATATACCTATAACTTTCGAATTAATTTAACTAGTTCGATATGCATTTGTACGAAACTCACGACACATATAATAACTTCGTAATCTTATTCATTCTCGAGTATAATTCTTTAAAATCAAGAAGTGTAAAATGTTCCGAGGTTGACACACCTATATGTCATATACAATTCAGCCATCTGAATTCATAAATGCAAGGAAGTTCAACAAGTTAGCACATACTCGGGAGGTGGATAGTGCTTTTCACGCAATTTGATTGGTTGCTCAGCTCGGGATACCCTTGCACTATTCATCATGGGACAAAAACAAAACGGCTTCCTGTTCCGGTTACAAAATGGCTTCCTGTTCCGGTCTATTAAACAAATTCGAAGCTGCGATTCCACCAAACACAAAGAAAGCCACAACGCTTTGTTTGACAGTGTGTAAGAGGTACTTTTAAGAGCAATAACCACAATGATTTAATAAGTCATTATGCATGCCTTATAGGTAAATTCCGTACACTTATATTTACAGGCAAAGAAGTTACTAAGTTACTCAAAAGAAGTTACTACCTTTTTGGAAGTTTTTTTATCTACTGATAAATATAGGCAACGTGTGATTTTTACAAGGCCCTGCCAAAGTCGAATATATATTCAGCAGTCCTAGAACATTCATTGTAGCAATACGTTAGCTAGATCCATACAATATAAACACTAACCTTACACATATCTTGGGAATTTTTAAAATTTTGAGCACTTCTTAGATTATAATAACATTTTCTGTTTAGATAAATCCATCCAAATGGACATAATCCTTAAAGTGAAATCAACATTTATAGTTAACAATGGATTTTTTTTAAAAAAACCTTCAATTTATTGTGAATTAAAGAGAACCCTTTCTTATCTTCTTTACACCAATGGACTTCAGCATATCTCGGTATAGGTGTTTTATATACTTAGACTTAGTGTAAACCATGCATTTTCATGTGTTATGTTTTGTTCTTGATAACGTAGCCTCCTACCAAATATGGATAAGCATTTTCCTGTATAATTGTCCTGGTAAACCTCTGAAGCAACAGCTCACGGCAGCAATTTCTAACCTATAATCCGGGCGAATTCTGAAAACTGTTGTCAACAAGTACTTACCTGTCGAAAATATTTGTGTCGGCGACCGTAGAAAAGGCTGATAAATCACGTGCGGTAGCTCTGTTGCTCTTCTTTTATCCTTAATGCGCTTCATGATTAATTCAGGCTTTACATTTCCCCACCAGTTATTTGAGGCATTTACAACGGTACCAGGAAAAAGGCTTGGCAAGGTACTAAGTTCGAACTCGTTGCTTGGATTAGTAAAGTAGTTTTCGTTGATAATTTCACGACCGTTAGATTGAAGGAGCACTGTATGTAAATATCCCTTATTCAAAAAGAATATATTTCTTTTTATGACGGATGTGATGTTCTCTTTACTTCCACCAACAAAGTTCATTGTATACCTTGCAGTATTGTCATAAAATACGTTTTCTATAATTGTGGCAGCTAAATTTTTTACGACAACCATGTCATGTGGGAAGACAATATCGTTAAGGTGTAAGTGGTTTCCAGCCATAAGAAGTTCACTAGATGCATCGCGGCTGAAGACGACAATATAAATAGCTTCGCTACCGTTTATGTTACGATATATAATGTTATTAACTATATTTACCATCGCTTGTTTCTTAAATAGGTATATGTGGATACCTCCTTGATTGGTACTGGCGAGAACGTTATTCGAGATTTCTATTGTGTCATTGTTGCGGACCAACATTTGAATTGATGGTTTAATTGGTCCACCTTTGTTTCCCTTTACAGTGATGTGGCTACGCTTAATCGTTACACGATTGGACACTGTAAGATCTGAAGTATAATGAACAGCTGCACCAGATATTTCTTGAAAAGTGCTCTCATCAATATTAATGCTAACGTCTTCGTGCTTCAACAGACCTTAATATTAAAATTTTCCAATTGAGCATTTCATTTCTGGCTAATTAGGGAGGGGGAGATAAGTTATTCGCTGTTATTCGTGTCATTCACTGTTATTCGTGTTATTTGTGAAAAGAACGACGTGGCACATCCATGCATAAAACGGTAAATTAGCACACAAACCTTAACCAAATGTTTGGCTACTGGGTAAACGATAACAGGATATAAAGGCCAAGAAAGAGAAAAATCATGGATAATAAAGTTGAAAGAAGACGTAATAATGGGATGAGGTTTCTTTGGGGCAAGTGTATCATGTGCAGAAACGATGCGGCAGTATAGTTGTGTAGCAATAATATACAACATACAGTCTTATTTTTCACCCTGCTCGGTTTCCTTTGTTCTTATCGGGGAATATATTCAATATTCCCCTCTAATCAATTTCTGTTTAATAATCCCCTCTAATATTCACCTGCAATTAATAATCCCCTCTAATATTCACCTGCAATGTCTTTGCAGCACAAAAAGTGAGAAAAAACGGCATAACGAAGGCAATATGGCATTAAGAATTATTTCTATTCTGACTCATTAACGCGACCTCGCAATGTGAAAAATAAGTACGTTATTTTGAGGCACCTCGGGGATATGTGTTTATTCACCTCGATGCTGCGCGCATCGGTGAATAAATCACATATCCCCTCGTTGCCTCAAAATAACCTATACATATTGAATAGTTTGAAATACCGATCTTACTCATCACTCATAATTTTAAACTTAAATGTTGCATGAAAAGAAATTATGAAAAATATACGCTGTTGCACAGGGCATCTTTAAATACCATAGCTTGGTGGAGCATTTTTCACAGTGGGCCCTGAGAGAAAAAATAGGCTTGCGGTCCCAGTGGGCATTGCTGTCACAGTGGTTTGCTGTCACAGCGCCAAATACCCTGTGGTGATATATATGGTTGGGTTCCAAATCGCGTGACTTAATGTTCTGGGGACAAATTTACGGTATACCAGAAAACTAGTGCATCACGTTTGTTGGCAATCGCAGAATTTTGCGGTTAAGCGCAGTAATATCATTCCCTAATCAAAAGAAATATATATCCTTACCTGTTTTGCCGATAACGGTAATTTCAGCTAAGAATCCTCTTAAGGTTGATATGACTGCTTCTATCACCAATGAATTTGATGGTATAACCGTAACTTTATCCAAATATTGACGAGTATTCCAATCGTATATATTTCTGACAAATGAGGGATGACCGCCGGCAATAATTTTTATGGAGTACGAACTTCTTACCCAGGATAGAAGGCGAAAATGAATTATGGTATTGTTTGGGGATAGGATTTCTAAGCCGCAAAATATATCTCTAATCTCGCTCCGTTGGTTAAGGAAAACATACGATTGACTATCGACATAGAGTTTTTGTAGTGGATCGCATAAATCATGTTGCCCTAGATAAGGCTGGAAAAAGGTCATATTTTTAAGTGGGGCTATCGTCACACCATGCTTGTTTCCTCCTTTCATTGATGATCGAGATATGGAAATTGATCCTTTGTTGCCCAAAATGACTATTGCTGGAAATTGCAAGCTGTTCTCAATGTTAATATGTTCAAGTGCTATCATCTGTTTTTGCCCGATGAATTCAATACCGTTACTTTCGATGATATGAAGATGTGTTATCGATGGCGAACGTTCAATAATCTGAATTGCAGACGCATCTTGATCATGCAAATGACCTCCACTGTGAATAAAAATATTTCTCAGCGAAGACTGTTCGTTTTCATGGTAATAATCACTTGAATTAACACTCTTTGGAAGGGCAATTCTTATATTTCCCCATCGAAAATCTCTTTCGCATTCCAGATAGACTCCGTAATATTCTGAACCACAATAATAAACTGTTTGGTTTTTGCAGTTTGATAAAGATGTTTCATTACCACGACAATTAAAGGAAACTTTGTACAGACTACTACGTCCAAAGTATCTTGTCTCATGATTGACATATCTACCATAACTTAATTGTCTACAAGCTACTGACCCATCTCTGGAAGTAAAGTAATAACGACATGCCCCCAGCCATCTACCACCAACACGTATTTCAAGTTTCCCCCTATATTCACGGTCTCCTCCAACAAGCCGAATCGATATCGTTCGTTGTACATATTTACATTTACTTTCCAAAGAGCAAAATTTTATTTCTTCGTTCACTGTTCCATGAGCAACGATATTTCCGAAAACGAGCAACCCAATATTTGGCTTCAAATATAACTGAACGCCAGGTTCAATAGTAAGTGTCACATTCTCTGATATAGTTAAATCATTCATAACAACGTATGGACTATATTTCGTGGTCAAACGCAGAGACGAGTTAACATATCCACCAATCTGAGATTGATTAGAAAATACTCGTGATGTTATAACGTCTGTGAAGTTCCGTGCAGCAGCAGCTGGAAGGTATTTTACTTTTGGTCTGTCATTCCAGTTCTCAAAGTGAAAAAGTCTCTTGTGCAAATTCACCGTGGATGATGTGCCCCAGTAATTGAACGTAGCATCGATATCGAAGTTTTCAGATAATATATAATTTGAACCGCATGGTCGTCCGATAAATAACTCCTTCTCCATTAGTTCGTTGTCAAAAACATTATGCTGAATATTATAGCGGTTGGAAATACATCCAAGGAGTCCCACTGAGTATGAACGCACATCAGTCACAACATTTTTCGGGGAGTTAGATGGTACACCTTCATTATCTTCCAAAATGTTGTTTTTAAAAGAAAAAAATCCCGCTGCCCGATTTGACTGAATATGAACCTTTATCATAAATGAACACTTGTTCTTCATGAATGTGTTTTCGTTGATATCGGTAAATAATGTACCTATTCCTTTCCCAGAAAAGTCAATTAAGGCATCATCTGGTGAAAGAGAGTTGTTAACGAAAATGTTTTTGTCGATTAAAATTGAGGACCGTGAGGAGTCAACGGAATTCTTCCACATTCGAAGTACGGTGTGTGAATTGCCAACAAATGTATTGTTGTAGAAGGTAAGGTTATTATTAGATTGATCTAAATGCAATTCAAATCCAGGATGTTTTGTTCGCGAAATGTTGCATTCATTAATCTCTAAACTGACTTGCGGTTTATTGTTATAATATGAATAACTGTAATATATTCTACTGTTCTCCACCAGTATGCAACGACGCAATATTACTGCCCCTCGTAATCTATAATTGGTATGATAATAACCATACGTGCGTATTACATAAGAGTTCCTGCCTAGAATACAGCTTTCCAGTTCTATATTTACGCTTCGATAATTGTAGTAAGATATTATATCCAATCCATAATGACAGTCATATATTTCAGAATTTCTGACCGACAAAGTTTGAGAAGAGTCATGCAAGGTTATTGCAGTGTTCCCACTCGTTATCACACAATTGTCTATTGAAATATTTAAAGAAGAAGAAGAAGTATAAATTCCGTAGCTGTTACCTTTTAATGTGACATTTTGCAAATTGAGATATCTTACATCACTGTTGTAATGTAATTGTATTCCGTAAGTGTTACCTTTTAACGTGATATTTTGCAAATTGAGATATCTTATATCACTCATGATCTGCTGTATTAGTATTCCGTAGTAATTCTTTTCTAGTACACCTCCAAAAAAACTAATGTCTTTATTATCAGTCTTTTGGAATGAAAGTGCCTTGCTACCTAAAAATATAAATAAAATAAAACAAATTAAAAAGTTGTCATATTTATTGTGAGGTCCATATCTGTAGTTCCACAACTTTTTAGGCATTTTTACAACAGTTGAAAAAAATCACTATCGAGTAGATAACGCTATTCGGCCTTCGTACAACCCAGTTTATTATCGACAATCGATTAGAATACATATCATGGAATTGACTGTTTGCATATTACATGCCTATTCTTACTTAATATTCACATCAACCAGTAGCTGAGGATGTAATAGTTTTTTTAAGAGATTTGATTAGGTCTAAAACATTATTACTCGGAGCGTTTTTTATTGTATAAAGTTCAAATATTTTTGATCTCGTTAAAACTTTACATAGAGTCGTAACTCTTAGGTATTTCAAAAATTTATTGCGGAAAATATTTGAGATACCATTAATACGCTTTGGCACTAAAGTAGCCATTGCTTCAAACTGTCTAAGCTTCGGAATATTAAAGTTATCATACCCGATAATCGAGAACCCAAATTTTATTTTAGTGATTAAACACACTAACTAATTAAACTCATAATACCTTCTGAACTAAAGATAACAAGTCTTTTTCTTGACCCCGACAGCCATGCCTTCCGCCAGTAACGCAGGGTCAGGTTACCTGGTCCAATGATGTACACGTCATGTTGCCTTAATGTGAATTCTGTTCCATTAGACGAATTTAAATTGGATTTACTAATAGTAAATGTTTCACCAGATATCAAAGATATTTCTGTAGCTACTAAGGTTATTCGAGACAGAATTGATACTGTGAGAAAACATTCGACATCCTGGTAGGAATAAGATGACTTTGACATCGTAATGATCTTCATGTCGTCCATGCCCATAATTACGCTCATATTTTGCTCGCACATTGAAATTTCCTTTCTCAACATGAATGTTGGTGCAACTAAAAAATCAACTGGTTTAATTTCTATCTCATAAAGAAAGTTTTGTATATTAAATTCTAGAAAGTAAAAGCCTCTATAGGTGCCAAACACGCTACAATTATAGCATGTTAACGCCGACGATGTCTCAATTCCATGGCTAGCGCTATTATACCCGTGACCCCTGTCATTTCGAATTAGGACGTTATTTATAACAAATCCAGGTTCTTGAAAAACTATTTTAATACCACTTTGAAAAAAGTCGTGAATTTCTACGTCACTAAGAGCTTGTCTCAACACGTCAAAGTGCAAGACATAGCTACTGATATCGTTACGGATTTGACCTCCACCACGTTCAAACTTAACGTGTGATATTTGACTAGCTTTAGCAGTTTCACGAAATCTTATTCCACGCCAGTAACCAGGGTCACATCTCGCGGTCCATAGACCACCATAGCACGATACTCCCCAACCATCGAAGGAACAAGTACTGATATCATGATGGATATTGGAGTTGCATCTCAGGTATCTCCACCAAACTGGTTTTGTGCTACTGGAGCTAGGCGTATAACTATAGCTTCTGCTATAACCCTCATACCCCAGCTGCTTGCATAAGACAATACTATTTGAATACGAGTTTCCGTCATCGCATATTGTTCCCCACGTTTTGTTGTAAAATATCTCAACAATTCCCTCCCAAGGTTTCGAACCATGGACAAGGCGAAGAGGATATGCTCCAAAGTTAGTAAAACCACTAAACTTCGTTGTGATGTCGAACTGTATTGGATTATTCCATTCTCCTAAGAGCTCCAACTTGCCATAAACATGAAATCCAATATTAGGGAGAACGTTTATTTGAACACCTTTTTCAATTGTTAAAATTGCATTAGGATAAATTACAACATCTCTTATCACCGTGTAAGGAGAATTGTCTTTCTCAAGGACGATGTAATCAGTTACGTGACCACCTAGTACGCTACCATTACGAAAGTCCACCCTTGTCTCATTGGTGGAAACGTCGGAAAGATTAGCACTTGCAAGAAAAGGAGAAAAGTTTAGCCGAGGTAAATAATTTCGCCAACGGAAATCGAAAATCTTCAAAATTATTTCCTTTCCGTTTTTGGAACCCCACCAATTGTATTTACCGTCAATTTCATATGGCTCGAAAGTTTGCGTGAGTATCAATTCCCAAGGGAAGAGTGGGTTTTCAAAGAAATTCTCATTGACAGACGTCTGTATGTGTCTGCTGGAGCAAATTACAGCAGCCACATTGTTGATGGAATTGTAAGGAAATGATAGATAACGTTGACGAAGGCCATTGGCAATCAGACTATTTCTGGTGAAGTTAAAACTGCCCATAGATAAGGAGTTCTTAGTAACAAGGTTAAAGATACTTTTATCAACTTCATTGTGCACCATGCTATTGTCGTGAATGAGAACGTTCCCACTGCTTACAGTGACGTCAACCAATTTTTCGGCTGTGTTATTGAAAAATCTGTTATGTAATAATGAAATATCATTATTAGAACCTTCATGTAATGCTGCAACAATTGCACTTTTTTCTAAAACATTCCTTTGAAGAAAATTTGAAGTAAGGATGATGCTTGTCGACTCCTTGGGTTGAATATCAACAATTCCCCTACCAGTATTGTCCAGAAAGTCATTTTCCATTAACAAGACGTTAATTCTGAATACAGCGGAACAGTACCAATAATAGGTTCGCTTTAATATTACTGAGGTACCTCGCATTTGATTGTTTCTCCAGTTGTTATTTGCTAGAGCAATTGTCTGTAAACCGCTGCAATGATACCCTGAATAGTCCACGTCAACCAGATTCTCGCAAGTATTATTAAAAATATTGTTATTGGCGATCTTAATTACAGATCTTGCAACATCACCTGAGATGAAAAATTTCAACATCTTCGTCGCGTCGTTGTTATGAAAGGTGTTTCCTTTTGCGTAGAAAGAGGCATAGTAACTCATGGATGATACGAAGATCGAGTTACCGTTGTGATGAAATGTGTTGTTCAATATTTGTATTGCAGATCGTCCGCCCGACACGAATATACAATTTGCATTTGTATTTGTTATAAGAGAATTTCTTATGACCGTCGTCTCGTGATTCACATCAAGACTGATTCCCATGTCTGTAAATCGACGTATAGTCACGTTCGAAATCACGTGAATGTTGTTTTCCAGTAAACTTTCTGAAAAAAAAAGAAGAATATTTTGTCCTCAATGTCGATTATTGAATGTTTGAAGTAAAAAATGTAATCATAAATTTACGAAACCCAACCTAGTACCCAGGCTCTTTAGTAATTAAATTCCCCGCGCGTCTAAAAACTCACCCAGAGCTCAGAACGCTATTAATTACTAAAGAGCCTGGGTACGAGGCTATACGAAACCCATTATATAATATATGGCTTGCGTATAAGTGCGATTTATTATGTTTTAAAGTAAAGTTTCACGTGCAATATTTTCTTCGCGCCCACAACGCAACGGGTTAAAGTGGCAGCACGTGCTATGCCATTCTCATCCGGTCAACATAGCTAGGCCAAATTCACGATTTCTTGTTGTTGAAATTTGCTGTCCTAAATTTTGGACAGAAGTTTAAAAGTTTGATCGCTGTGAAGTGTGAGTGCGGTCGCGGTTGACAGCAACTAATCCAACGTTCCACAGAACTCAAGAATAAAGGAATACCAACTGGGTTTCCCTGCAGGATAGCGTGGTCATCCATGCACGCGGATCGGAAAGGAATAAAATAAATACGAGCTGCAGGCGAGTGTTTTTTACGCTTTCCGACTATCGTGCACGGAAACTATTTGGTAATTGTTTTATGAAATAACTACAGTGAAACAAGGGATAAATTAAACTTTATTAATTTAATTATATACATTTTTGAATCTACGAAGTAGATTATATGCTATCGACGTGTTAGCTGTTAGCTGTTAGCTGTTCACTGTTAACTTAGCCAATCAGTGACCAGTATTACCAAAAATTACGTAATTACAAATCACGGCTTGGTCGCAAGACAATCCAATATGGCGGTAAAGAGGGGTTAAAATTTATTATTTATATTTATTCACGCATTGAAATATGATGACTTGTGGATGAAAATGGAGCATGCATTCGACTACACAGCCAGAAACGCGCAAGTTGCAACAAGTCTGTTGACAACTTGGAACCGACTTGTTATCAAGAAGCCGATATCAGGATGCGTTCGCATGGCTTGCAACAGCTTGTTGACAACAAGTCTGTTGCAAGTTGTCAACAGACTTGATGCAAGTTGTGAACTGCATACTTGATGCAAGCTGTGAACTGCAGGCTTGATGCAAGTTGTGAACTGCAGACTTGAGGCAAGTTGTGAACTGCAGGCTTGATGCAATTTGTGAACTGCAGACTTGATGCAAGTTGTGAACTGCAGACTTGATGCAATTTGTGAACTGCAGACTTGATGCAAGCTGTCATCCACAGACTTGATGCAAGTTGTCAAAATGCTAAGCGAGGAAAGCGCCTTATGAAGCTTCGTGTATGCACTATTTTGAACAAAAAACGGCCAAACAAGTTGCCATATTTCAGTTGTAGTGTTTCGTAAAATAACAAGACGTTTATATAACCAACTTGTGAGATAATTTTTGAGCAAAACAGCCGAAAAAATACGACAAAGAAGGTTCTTATCGCAAACAATTCTCAAAATTAAATGGTCTTTAAGTCCGACCGAAATATGACAACCTACTTGCATCTTTTTCTTCAAAATAGTACATACACAAAGCTTCAAAAAAGCGTCTTTCTCTTTCGCAGATTTTTCACTTGAAATTTGAAAGAAATTGTGTAACGAATTTCATATTCATATCAACGATGAAGACTCGGTTGTTCATGTATTTTTCATTTCTTAAGCTCTAGATCTTGTATTCTCATTGCCACTTTTTTCAAGATCAAACGAGCTTTGAGCTTTTTTCGCTTCCGTGTGAACGTGTTTGATTTTACTATTTTAGTTCGCACTTCGCAGTTGTTGAAATTTTGTTTGAATCAAAAAGTAAACTGACAGAGCGACAAACTGTTAAAGACAAAAACAACTGAACATGATTACGTGATTGATATGTTTGTAATATTTCGTCCAATTGCAACGAGGAATGATGACGTGTGCATACGCCTTTATCCAATCAGATTAAAGAAATATAGCGATAGCACACGTCAGCAAGTTGTTCCTAAATTTTCATTTTTATAAAATTTTTAATTATTTCATTTGCGACACAGAGTAAAGATATACAGAGGCGGAACTCCAGGCAAATCATGTCCCCACTTTTTTAATGCGCATACGCGACCCTCTGGCAAGTATCATGCACATTTTTTATCAGGAAAGAGATAGGGAAATGCAAAATTTTGGCAGTAAAACGGCGATTTTAAGCGCAGTAACCGATCAATCTTCATTTTCTGCACGAATTTTGCAAATAAATGGCAGACTGCGTCTTCTTAGCAAAAGCGAATTGAACGAAAACCATTTTTAACGGCGAAAATGAGAAAAGACACCCGAAGGCGTGAGAATTTCTGGCAATCTGAAAATTCGATTCTGTAGACCTGAACTCCAGCTGGAACTTGGCAACTTTATATGTGAGTTTTTTTCTCTAGCTCATATATATAAAATTATCAATATATTTTTGTGAAGTGCAATGTTGTATCAAAGGGTTGTCGTTAATTTAAACATTGCATAAACAGCATTCAGATACGAAAATGAACATCAACATTCAACATTCAACATGGACTGATAGAGTCATGGACATGGAGCCACAGTACTCTAAAGTACTCGTATAGACTTTATTTAACTTATATGTTGACCCAATGGTGGGGGATTGATCAAATTATACTTTATAGTGATTCCCCTGGATTAGTGCATTGGTTATATATTGCCAGTGCACTGACAACCTTTTTTTGGCTCTCAAAGATCAATTTCTCAGACATGGCAAGTCACTGTACATGTTTAATAAAAATCTAATCTGTTTATTTTATTTTGCTTTTCTAGATTGCCAATCATTCCTGTTGAACTACATTATTCATTACAATGAATCAGATGCAGAATCTTACAACTATGTTAATTTGTTTGCCTGATTGGGGAAAACCTGAGACTATTTGATCTTATTGGAATGCCTACCAAGTTTACATAGCCTCAGGCAATGTTTATATAATTAATTAATTGACAACCCATTAGTCCCATCCAGTTCACCAGAGCATTTTGCAAATTATTTGTAGATAATATTTTGACACCACTTTCAATTGGCAGCTGTGCTGAAGATTCTGATGCCTATTTGATTGCATTTCACCCTAGCCAATCTGATTTATCTGCAGGAAATGATCAGACAAGCCCACCACTAATCCAAGCAGTTGAAGATACCGACTACAAAACAAATGAAATTGAACAAAACTTAAATAGTCTGCATAAACTTATGTGTCAGGATATTTATTAAGGAAGTGCCTTATCCAACATAGCTGTCCAATATGTCATCATAATTTTGTGACAAAGGATGTCAATGACAGTAGTCTCTGCTATTCTGCATGTTCAAGACCTCTGACCTTTGAAGGCGTAAGCAGTGCAGGCGGATTAACAATCCGTAAAGAAACGTTTCTTTGATGGAGAATACATTTGTGAATGTGGTTAACAGTTGCACAGAAAGTATTAAAAACATAGGTAGTTTAACTTATAATTTTTGCTCACAAATCCCAAAGCTACATGGAACCTGATGGAAGTGTTTCAAATCAGCACCCATGCTTTCTTATTAATGTAAAAGACAGGAAAGCAATACGTTTGGCCATTAATTTAGCGAGATGGGAATCTGCTTCTTGGCAGAACATCACAAGCACCGAGATTGTAAAATATGGCCATGCGGTACAAAGATTATACTATTTTTTTTCTTTGTATTTAGCCTATAAACGTACATCTTTTTACATGAAAATAACCACTCACCATTTATCTTTCAAATTTGAGTCCCAAAATGAAGATCGGTGGAGCAACTTCGCAAAAATATTTATTTTTCTACTTTCGAACAGTGTTTTTCCTATGCTTTTGACTGAAAATACGACGAATGACACTTGCCAGAGCAATTTGCGTGGCGCGTGAAAATGACGTTGCACGGGGACACAAAGAACAAAGGAATCGCCGCGAGTTCCGCCTCTGTATACTCTGTGTTTGCGACTTGCGAGAATTTTTCTACAGCTGTCGATTTCAACTTATCTAATTTTATTCATCCGAAATAGCTGTATAGACTGCTAACTGCAAAATAATCCTTTTGATTTAAAATACAAACATATCCATTGTTAAATATTCATGTATAGAGCGATAATAATTGAGGAAACTGATTTTCACGGGCGAATTTAATAGCCAAACAATAAACAAAGTCTGTATAGCTGTGAACAAGTCAAATGAATTTGTTATTAACTTGCAACAAGTCTGCAAATGTCAAGTTGCAACAAGCCTGATTTTAACAGACTTGCTGCAAGTTCTTTTATCGGACTTGTCAAGACTTAATAAGTTCTTTGTATGTCTGCATGGCGATAAAACATATAATAGTTTTGTTTGTGGAAACACCACGTAAATTTATTACTGCAAAGCTTTCGATCCGTAAGCCCGGATCTTCATCAGTTCAGAAATCTAAATTAAAAGTGCGAAAGTTGCCTGCTATTGCTCTGAATCGGCAAAGCCATTTGCTGAAAAATTATGAACCACATGGCGAATTGGCGAAATATTCGGTATACGTACTATTTTGTGACGAGCCGACACGAAGACGGCCAAGCGCTTAAATTTTCGCGACAATTACAACTACGTTTGCTTATATAAACGCAACTATGTTTTTCAAATAGTTGGTTGTTTAAATGTTCATAATAATTACAATTAATAAAACGTTTGTGACGTCTCAAGTTTAAATCGGCTTGATCACGAGGCCGCAATTTGCATCAAGGTTGTTCCAACAACTTGACGCAGGCTTGAAAATATCAGCTTGCAACAAATCTATTAAGAACAACTTGCGACAAGCTTGTTGAATCAACAATGCTGTTGCAAGTTGTTCTAACAGACTTGCTAAACCTTGTCATCAACAGGCTTGTTACAAGTTGTTCCAACAACTTGATGCTGGCTTGATAATATCAACTTGCAACAAGTCTGTTTTAACAACTTGCAACAGCATTGTTGATTCAACAAGCTTGTCGCAAGTTGTTCTAACAGACTTGTCAAGACTTGTTATCCACAGGCTTGCTGCAAAAACCGCAGTCGACCATTGCCGAGACAGCACCGCAATTTGTTTGTCCCGTAATCGGAAATTAACTATCGTTTCCCAATTTTCGCATCTAAGCGTCTTTCAATTTTAATTTTCCGAAGTTATCAGACGATTACAAATTTCGAGACAAATTTGCGTTTTAAAATGTCGACTCGAAATTGTCCGCGTATGCTCGAGAGAGAGAGAGTTATTAACCTGTATATTTAGAAGAGGAAGCCATAAAAGTTTTGAGATTAGCGGCTACAACAACAGCACTTACCATGGAGCTTCAAAACTATAGAGCCGTCCTATATAGTCCAAACCATTGAATTCGACTTCAACTGTAGATCCTTGCTTGTCACTGTAGCAAGAGTATACGATTTGCTGTTCACGAGTGAAATACCTCGTGCAACAGTTCTTGCATATTCGAAATATTCCCGACGTTTATAATGAATGTATATTAATGACTCAAGTTGTTGATTTTCCCCCTCCACTTTCTCGACAAACACAATATTAATAAACACAATCATTTATTTTTGTGGGAGAGGGGTTCGGGGTTGTGAAGAGTCCATTTACAGTATATGACAAGCATCATGCCTACTCATATGTCACACCCTATTAGCTGCACTGATTCTGAACTGGCACTGATAATCTGACCAAGATTCACTTGGACAGTCCTAACCTGACCAACTGGAGCACGAAACCCCAATATGGACAGTCCTTACCCTGACCAATCGGAGCACAAAACCCCTATGGACAGTCCTTAACCTGACCAAAGGCACTAAACCCATATGGCCAGTCCTTAACCTGAACATGGGGGGTAAACCCCCATGGCCAGTCCTTAAATTTAGATATATTATGTGTGACATATATTGAGTCTATGGGCCTGAAGTTGACATTTTATGGAGACTTCATCCCGAACCACAATTCTTTATTCTAATCATTCAACAAGAATTTACAAGCAAAAATATTTTCTATGCACCAATAATATCCACAGTGAATTACATACGCTAGTCTACCAACAATGTTTGTGACTTTTGCACTTGAATGTGCTTCCTTGTACTTTTGATTGTTCCAGAATAATGTCCTTGAGAATTACATATGCTAGTCTACCAACAATGTTTGTGACTTTTGCACTTGAATGTGCTTCCTTGTATTTTTAATTGTTCCAGAATAATGTCCTTGAGATTGGTTGGCAATAACAGCATCCCTTTGTACGTAGTCATCCACAGTATTATATATACCAAAACATACAATACATGTCTATCTATCTATATCCTTCCATGGGAACAGGTATATTGTCAATATACATAAGAATGTTATTACTGCATTCCCTAATATTATAAACATTAAAACTTTAACTTATTTTTTCTTTTTTAATTTTAAAAATGGAGTACAGTGAAGGTAAGCAGAGGATAGGTGGGTGGGTGGGAAAATCTTTCGATAATGTTACTCTGTCGACATGTCAGAGTAAATTACGTTATTTTGCATGAACTCGTGCATGTTATGTGCCAATTAGGATGGGCTGTGTTGTGCCCTATGATTGGTCAAAGCCCAGAACAGAGTCGTACAAGGTTTTCAATTGGTTCACAGTGTGTTTCACGGTTTGTTCACGTGAATGTGTGCTAGCTGGCAGAAGATGATCTTTGACCTATCTGTCAAGACCTTAGACCTAACTGTCAAAGATCAGGCGGTGTGTGTCACGAAATCCCACCAATCAGGTGCGGCCATTTCGGCAGTGTTTCGAGTAGACAATTAAAGCGATTTACAGAGTGATTTATCCTGGGTTTTCGTCGATTCTCAAGTGATTTCTGTCATAATTTAAGGAAGAAACTTAGTTGTTTTGTTTTATAACTTGGTCTGCTACTGTGTGTATTTTGTGAAGGCGGTTGGAATCTATCTCGACTCGTCAAGAGCGATTTTAATTTAATGTACTTCGCATTCGCCATATTGGATTTGACTCGAAAATTATGCTCAGGAATTTCTTCTGAAACGGCTTTACATTAAGACAGAACGATATACTCTTCGTACAATCAGATGGTGTAAATAGTTTATTTTTAAATTATTGGGGTCTACCCGGGTCTACCCCGCTTAGTTCTCGTGTTATGGGCCGTTGAAAATGAAGCGATCAGCGATAGTGAGTGGTTCAACTCCTGGGAAACCTGCTGTCAAAACGAACAAAAGGCAAGGAGAACCTTCCTCTAGAAAGTCGTTGTTCGATTTTAAGACCGAGAAGGTGTGTATAGTATTTTTATACTTTGAAATTGTTGTATGCTAACGTAAATTTTTGTTTGTATTTTTAAAATATAAATTGTCAATTGTGTATACTATAAACGATTATGATCCGATATGAAATAGTATGTATTTAAATTATTTATAGAAAGACAATATCAACCAGCCAGATCAATGGTCAATTGAAGAGAGAAAAGCTCTTGTGGAATATGTGGCACTTTTCACCCCAGTAAGTCAAGACCAAGCGTTTCCTGGCCGGCGACCAAAAAAACAGAATTTTGGGATAAGTGTGCTGATGCCATTTCATACTCAACAGGAAAGCAGAAAAGATCAGGTACTTTTTAAAATGTTGTAAAAAATGGTAGCTGTTTCGGGATAAAGTCAGTTACCAAAATTAACCGTAAGCCAACTATGCTGCACGTTTAGTTAATAATTTAATAGTAATCATTCATTTGATGGTGTTCTCACTACTTGTAGCATTTTGGTTTTTGCATTTTTGGTTTTGCATTGTCTGTTTATTTTCTATGCAGTCTTACAGAAAAGCTGTTGTATTGCAAGCCTTGCCATATTTTGTTTTCGTATTGTACTGATGTAATGCACCAGTCAAAGTAAACCCAGACCCCCTCCCCCCGACCAAGAGGGGACTTGGAGGGGATTTAGTGGCTTTTTGTCATCCAATTCTGTCCCAACCATTTCGGGAATTTGTTGGTTTTGTCATTCTGCCGAATTACGCTGGGAAGATAATTCAACATTTGTTTGTTTATATTAATATGTTTTTATTGTTCTTTTGAGTTTTGGAACAAAATATTAATATTTTAAAATGTGGACGATTTA